TTAAGGAAAAGGCAGGCTAGCAGAGATTCTTTAGAAAAAAAGCAGACTAGCAGAAATTTTTTAGGAGAGAGCAAACCAGCAGAATTCCTGGAAAGTAAAGCCCGATAATGCGGGCCCAGGTATACATTTCTATGAGGCGGGGCTGAAGGTATAATTGAGGGTCGGGGCTAGTGAGTGTATGGCGAGAAGCGGACTGGGATGACTGCGAGCCATAGAATAATAATAATACTCGCATCGACACTGGCCCCCCGTCAACTTTTTTCCGCCTCGACTAGCTGTCGCTCCACTGCCACCCCCGCTTCCATAGCCGCAAATTTTGCGAGGCACCTTGCTATTATATGGCGGGTCGCTTTCGCTGGCCTTCAAAAACATTACTTTACTGGCTGAAAAAGGAAGAGGAGCATGACCTCAATTTGGATGGAAAGCTATAGCAAAAAAACGCTAGCTTTCCGGAGTTTAGAATTAAAAATGCTCGAATTAAAGATCCTCGAATGACGAAAATCTAGCAAAACGAAAAGTTCTTACAGAATTATATCCGGGTCGCTTTCGATAGCCTTCACAACATTACTTTACCGGGTGAAAAAGGAAGAAGAGCATGACCTCAATTTGGATCCCGAAAGCTATGGGAAAACGGTAAAATTACGAAATCTCGGATTTACAGCTTCAAATAATTGCAATATCAATCGAGCTAGATCTTTACTACTTACATTATGTTCGCTGGATGTCCTAAAAACATTACTTTTCAGGGTAGAAAAAGCAGAGGAGCACGAGCTCAAGCTGAAGTCACAAAAACTCTCGAAAAACGGTCAAACTACGGAATCTTGAATCACAAAACCTCAAATAACAACATCTAGGAAGGTTATTTTTGGGTAGCTGCAAATCCCTTCAAAATAAAAACGAGCATGTCCTCAATTTCTACCCAAATAAGCAAGAGAAAATCCGATGGTTTTCGAGGAAAGAAGTTGATTATTGGAAGTGCTATCTGAGTATTCAATACCCTAATCTGTCTTCAAAAAATTATGGCTAGATTAACGTAAAAATGTAGAAATTCAAGATGCCAGGCTGCATCTGAGACGATTCAACGATCTTGTTGTAAAGACTTCAAACCAGTGACCGCTATCAACTTACACGAATGCCCCTCTCACAATGGCTATAAGCTGATAGTCAATGACCGCACAAGAACGGCTCCTTTGTTAGGACAAGGTAGAGCTATTTTAGGGTTCTGGAGGATAGCTGTTCTTCAATAAATCCACTGGAAAATTAAGAAGGAAAAAACAAACCTTCTAGCCGTAAAACACGCGGTTTTAAGTCCTAAAATTTGTCAATTGAAAACCAAATTTATCTCCGCTGTGTCAGCTCCTCGTTTTTCACACTCACTGCAGCATTTTTTCGGGATAACGATGCAGCGTGCGAATGAATCAATCATCATCCCCGGGAATTTCCACCATTCCCTTTCAATGTTTCCGGTGCCCAAAATTTGCACACGAAGAATTGCCAGGCAACCCACCCCCCCCGTGGCCGTCAGACCAAAGCTGATGATTCGTTCCGGGGCAAAAGCAATTTTTCCCCGCTTACAAGGAGTCGCTTTTAGGTGCCTTTGGAGTTTCGGGACGGGACCTAGCTAGTTCGATAGAGAAAAAAATTCTGAGCAACATCCCGTTTTCAAAAAGTGCTGATCGATAAAGGTGTTTTAGAAAATTTATTTTAAAGTTCGCGCTTTTTTTCTAGTTTTCGGGTCCATTTCCTCGGTGCACGTCGTTTTCGGGGCTGGGCAGGGCGCCATTCGTAACCCTCTGCCAATGCCTCCATCACAGGTTGCATTGGCGTATTGGTAGCGCGCTTGCCTACCAACTTTTTAACATTTTTTGCCTCGGGTTCGAACCTTCGCGCTCGCTAATACTTTGATTTTTGGTTCTTGAGCCCGTTATCGCTGCATAAAATTTTAATTAGGAAAAAAGCAAAGAGTTAACGATAAATAAGAATCGAACTTGTGGCAAAAGGTCAAAAAAAATTCGTAGGCCATCGCACTAGCCACTTGGCCATGCCTAGGACGGGATCCAAGGCGCGTGGAGTCCTCATGTGGCGGGGGCGATCGACCGCCGCCAATAACCTCAAATCACCACAAGGGTCCGGACACCGTGAACATTTTTAATTAAATTAAACTAAACTTTCTAAAACAGCTTTATCGATCAGCACTTTTTGAAAACGGGATGTTGGTCAAAATTTTTTTCTCTATCGAACTAGCTAGGTCCCGTCCCGAAACTCCAAAAGCACCTAAAAGCGACTCCTTGTTAGATTTTTTTCTAAGCCAGAGTTATCGATCTGAAGTCTGGAAGGTGCGAAAAATGGTTAAATTCCTATTTTGAAAAATTATCTCGTAAATCCTCCCTTGGGGATTTAATGACGTAATCGAATGCGGTATGTTGGGAGAGGCTAATTTTTTTTCTTCCGGATCTCCAGTTAGATTCCATAAAATTCGAGGCCATATAGCGTCTTGTCGCACCCGGGAAGCCCCTATCGTCACCCGAAGCCGCAAAACAATTTTTTGGCCCGGGGGCCAGTTCGGAAATTTTAGTTTTTTGCAGCGATTTGATAATTGGCAAAATCTTAATGAAAAATTGACTTTCAAATGGTTATTTTATTTTTTTTAAACACCGGTCTTTATGCTTCAAGTTTTAGAAAATTTCCTGAACCCCATTCGTGTTTTGGCGTTTTGTCATTTTTCCAGACTCAGGAAGTACCTGCAATTGGGTGGTCCATCAGCTGTCCCGGTGGCCCAAAATTCCGCTTTAGCACCTGTTTACAGTAGCACCGCTGATTGTTTTTGATCTCTGAAATAAGTACTACACTGTGCGTTCCCGAAATGCACCCCAGGCAAACCCATTTGGTCTGGCCACGTAACCAGGCGCGACCAGGGGGAAACGCGGGTCCCGCCAATGGGATTTAGGTTTCACGTGGTTTTCAGATTTTTAGAAACTAGACTCCGCTCCATTACTCACAAATTGGCACCTACGAAGGTTTCAAATTATGTTCCTGCCTAGAAACCATTGAAGTTTCGAAACTCCTGATTTAACGAAAGGCAATTTTAGAGCGATCTTTAGAAATAGACATTCTCTCTCTCTATCTCTCTCTCTCGCGCGCGCTTTCTCACTCTCACTTTCTCTTCTCTCTGTCCCTCTCTCTCGCGCTTTTTCACTCTCTCTCCTCCTCTCTCTCTTTCCATCTCCCGTTTCTGGAACTCTTTTCCTCTCTCTTTCTCTTTTTCGATCTAAATTTGCAGCCGAGCTTTATTACATTTTGGCAAGACCAAAAACCCAAAAAGTCAAATTTTCATCGGAGTTTTTGGGGGGAATTCCTGCATGTGCTTTGATGGCTACTGCGCTATGCCGCCACGTTTTCATCAAATTCCGTCCCGTTCCATTGTCAATAGTACTATTTCGTAGCACATGTCGGTACCGGTCTCCAGCTGAGCGCTTAAGCCCGTGTCGGTGGGCAAAAGGACAAACGTCTGCTACAATGAACGCGCATACCGTGCTGCTTAGGCTTGGGCTTGGGCTTAGACCTAGGCTTAATCTTAGCCTTAGGCTTAGGCTTAGGTGCAATAAAGCACGAGTGCAAATCGGGTGCAAAGGTGGGCGGACGGTCATTATGGGCAATCTCTTGCAAAAGCGTGCCGAAATGCAGATGAAATCGAGCGATCCTTGCCAGCTGAAAAAAAGGTGGGAGATCGGCAGCAAATTCGGTTGAATTCCGGAAACGGCTGGCCGAACCGTGATTCAAATTTGCAAGTGGTCGATCCGAATTGTCGATTGCGCACGTCTGGCGCTAGCCTAGACCGCCCAGATGCCCCGGCTCAAAATGATACAAATACCTGAGCTTAGGCTTAGGACTACTGCTCGAGTTTGTCCAGGCCTGTGCTAGCGCCTTACCAACGCCAAAGCCTGTTTTTAAGGGTAAGCTTAAGTAAGCAAGCATCTGTCGAAAACTAGACCTAAGCCCAAGCCTATGCCTAAATTTAAGCCTAAGCCTTCGCCAAAGCCTAAACCTAAGCCTAATTCTAAGCCGAAGCCTAAGCAGATACTTAAGGCGGAGGCCACGCCAAGGTTAAGCGCCTCCGACACGATTAGCATGATTTTATCGTCTCTTTACGAGGTCTATCCTGTCAGCGACCGGGTTTACATAAATTCCCCGAACCTGCCTCGCGCGTTTTGTCAATCGTAATATTTCGTGATGTCGATTTATTGTGTGTCAGTAGTATCGGGCGGTGATCCCGGTCTCCAGCTGGGCGCTTCAGCCAGGCACACCGGGTGGCTGGGCAAATTTCAGGCGTAGCCATGCGCTTTTTCGTGACGAGACCTAGGGCTGACCACCCGGCTTTAGGCATCTATTAGAAATCGATTTTCTAGGCCTTGATTACTCGATAAAACTGTTATCCAAAAAAACAATTATCTTAACTCTTATATCACTCTCCTCAAAATCCTATTGTCGAACTTTTAAGAAACCTCGTATTTCCGGTAAATAATCAGTCAAACTCCGTTTTCTTTGGCGGGCTCAGAAGGCGAATTTCGGGTTATTCACTCCAATCCATCATGCTCATTATATTCCTCGACATGCGCCTCGCTCGGGCCGATAAAGCCCAACGTATTCAAGCCGCTCGGAGAAACATTTTTCCCCTTCAATTTCCGCCAATACGAATCGTATTCGCAGCTAATCTTCCATCGAAGCCCTAGCAAAGCCAGGCCTTACCGGAAATTTTTTTCATTCAAATTGTGCTTATGCATTATTTCGGCAAAAAATTTCACGTTTGGTTTTTTCAAGCGGTAGCAAAGTCAGGAACTTTTTCCGACTTGACTAATGTCCTGTTTTTCAATTCGGTTCTCAGCACACAAGGCGCATAACTTTGGTCGACTACAGGCCCCCCGCTTCCAGACCTCCATTCCACTTCAACTTTTACGTAAAACCTTGGTGATTTTCCAGGGGGCCTCAAAATCACCCAGCGGATGTACGAGGTGCCGAAGAGGAGGTTTGTCTGATGGTTCAGAACTTTGTATTAATGATATTGATATTTTTCGTAGCGTTGTGTAGGTTTTTACGATCAATGCAAATTAGGAACACGAATAAACGTTTAATTGACGTTGGCTTTGTAGGTTCTGGACTGCTAACGGGGGGGGGGGTGGCAAGGGGAACCACTTTCTGTAGTTCCACCTATGCCTGCCTGTTGATAATATATAATGTACAGGGTGGCCCGAAAGAGTGGTGACCGCAGCTTGCACACAGAATTTCTCTGTTCCCTTATGGGTTTGGGCAAGGCGGGGTTATGGATTCTGTTTCCTATAGATGTTGGCTAAATTTGAGCATACGCTCAGCGCACAACGCAGTCAAGCTTTTTCATTAGGAATTTAATTCCATAATTCAAAGTCATGGATTTTTTGAAATCGACAAAATCTAAAATAAATTCCTGTGGATGAAAATACTTAACGATGCCTTTTCCATCTCTTTAACGAGCGTGCCTGACGTTTCCGGTGAAGCTCGTGGTGCAGCTATGGCTCAGAACCCTCCAACTTGGTCAAGTGACTGAGGCCCGTTATTAAGGGTTTTGACCAAACCGTTTTTTGCTCGCCAAAAGAGCCATCCTGCAGCTCCAACCCGAATCCGCAGAATGTTTTTTTGTGTAGCCGGACTGAAAGGCGAAAGTGTTGGCTACTCCCGATTCAATTTTGGGTCGCTCGGAAAAGTCTTCGTCGAGTTGTGAGCCAAATTCGGGCTGAGTGCCTGCGTGCCAGCACCTCCGTTTTCCATCCGCTTCCCCGCCAGTTTTTCCGAATTTGAGGCAAACAAATAAAAAAGTGGTTATACCATGTGGAAGATAATTGTTTAAGGAATATAATGTGCTAAAATGAGCTTTCCTCGATCTATAGTTTTTCAGAAAATCGAAAAAAGTTTCGGTCACCACTCTTTCGGGCCACCCTGTATTTTTATAGTGTTTTTAGTAGTTTTGCATTGCTAGAAAGTTATACAAAATATTTTAAAGTGTATCAAAATTCTATTTGGGTTTTGGACATTTTGCAGACATTTTTGACCATCAAGATAATTCCAGATATGCCGCGATAGTCTTCTTTGTCGCCATCTTTGTGATTACCTTTGGAATATATACCGACTCATTGCCGACGATCCCGAATTTGAGGTATCGTTGTGATCTACCACTGACCTGAAATTGGTTTAGCATCATCAAAAACATCCCGGGCCAGCTGGGGTCCTATACAGGGTTAGTGACTTGTTTCGGGTTATAGACGCCAAAATGTAGTGAATATGAAGAAGAGGTCCCGCAGAAGAATGTCTCCATTTTCGCGTTTATCATGACCTTTCCGGATAAGCACACCACGAGGGCAAAAGCCGTGTCGGTGAGTATAGAGAACATTTCGTTCTGGTTCGTTCGTGGAACTATGTACCCCAAATTTCAGGAGACCTGGGCCCGAAAACTCGACGACTACGTTTTCACAACAATCAAATCGGACGCCAACCTAACCCATAAAAAGTCGGGTTAACGTAATGAGTTATCGATGCATCGTTTAAGCTGGGAGATCGGCTTCGAAGACGCGAATCACAAGCGAACGGATCGACATTGGTTGTGGGACCGGATACGGGCCGGGTTCAGGAGGATGTACAAGGAGAAATGGGTAATTTTAAGCCTAGCTACGAAAGGAGCTTGTCCACATCTGACCGTAAAATTTTAGCTTTCACAATTCCTTTAATGTTAACGAAGAGCAAATAATTTAGGGTCAATATGATTGGTATATGAAGGCGGATGACGATTGTTATTATGTGATGGAAAATGTGAGAGAGGTATGCGACAGATGAAGAGAGTGAGAGAGAGAGAGCGAGAGAAAGAGAGACGGAGAAAGCGAGAGAAAGAGAGACGGAGAAAGCGGGAGTGTGCGAGAGAGCGTGCGAGAGAGCGTGCGTGAATGCGAGCGTGGGAGAGAGAGAAAGCGAGAGATGGATAGAGTGAGAGGGACCGTGCTTGATTCAAAGGACGATAGATGGAGAGAGCGAGAGAGTGAGAAAAAGCGCGCGTGAGTGAGAGCGTGGGAGAGAGAGAGCGTTAGTGAGAGCATGGGAGAAAGAGAGAGCGAGAGAGAGACAGAGAGATAGAGAGAGAGAACGCGAGAGAGACAGAGGGCAAGAGTGAGAAAGAGCGAGAGACGGAGAGAGTGTGAGAGTGAGCGGCAGATAGAGTGATAATGCTCGAGAGTGAAAAAGAACTCTTCAGCTTCTGGCCCAATACAACCCTGAAGAGCCATGGTATCTGGGCGAGACCGTAAGCGCCGGCTCCTTTTACCCCAGCGGTGGCACTGGATATATTTTATCAAAAGCAGCCCTCAAAAAGTAGGTCCCTGGGAGCTTCAAACTAAAGTAACACACGGAAGGTAATTCCTCCCCCTATTTTTGCAGGTTTGTCGACGAGCTGAACTCGCCGAACACGCACTGCCAACGGAATTCAGGTTCGGAATCGATTTTCACTGTTAATTAAAATTTTTTGAGACCAAATGGAAGACATCCATGTTGGCCACTGCTTCACACATTTAAACCTGTCCTTGATACCCTCGGTCAATGAGAAGCAGGAGCATACGTGGGTTTCTAAACAAACGTCTCGAAGTTTCATATCTTTAGGCTAATCCCCATCAATCTGAAAAATATCATGATCGTCGAGGAGAAGCGGAACAACTTTGCGAATTGGTACATCTCGGCGTCAAAGATTCCGGTGAAACAGGTGGGTCATTCGCTTAAAAAGGTGGATTAACATAATGGGGCAAAGCGACCGTGACGCGTGAACGCCATCTTTTTAGGGCCCGGAATGCTGCGGTCCGAAGTTGATGGCCGTGCACTATACAAGTTGGGAGGAAATGTACATCTATGATTATTTGCTGTACAAAGTTAAGGTAATTGGAAAATGGGTCTTGCTAAAGAGCAAGAGATCGAGATGAATAGATGAAAGAGAGACAGAGAAAGCGAGAGAGATAGATAGAGAGAGCAAGAGAGAGAGAAAGAGCGAGAGAGAGAGAGCGAGAGAAAGAGAGAGAGCGAGAGAGAGAGAAAGCGAGAGAGAGAGAAAGCGAGAGAGAGAGCGATAGAGGGAGACAGAGAGAGGGAGAGGGAGAGAGAGAGGGAAGGAGACAGATGTAACTTAATTGTAGTGTTAAAGTGGGTGGTCTCTAGAGATTTGGGCCTGCTTTGCTCGAGCCTTTAAACCGTTCAGCACCCCCGTTCGAGGTCATTCCAAGGGCTGGCAGCGATCCCGGAATTTCTGCAATAAATTCCTGGGTGTAAGCCGCAAAAAGCGGGCGGTTGTCTGGCTAGAGAGGATTTGGAGAAAGCAGCCGGAGGGCATGGCGAAGGAAGGGGAGGGCGCGGTGTGCGTGAGCCGGGATAAGTTCGCCGCAGCTACGAGGATGGGGAAGTTCGCGTGCCCTGGGGGCATGAATTCAGCTGTTGCCTAGGATCAAGTATCGATTAGCGGATTAGAGTCGAGCCTGCATGGGCTGGTTTGATGCGAATCAAGACTGTAGAATATATAGAATCTTGATTGCTAAATTCTAAAAAGCGTTAAAATTCCGACTTCAACACAAAAACTGATCCCTTTTATTTTGACAAAGAGAGTTGTCACAGAATTAACATTTTAAAGGGCTCATGAAGGCAAATTTCCAAGCCCTTCCACGGACTCTGCATTCGTTACCTCCTTAGAACCCTAGAAAAACACAAAACTGCAGACTGCAACTTCAACAACAGAATCCTCTTCATCATGCCCCCCGTTCTAGGTGGCCGGCATCGACAGGTCGAGCTGATCAGCCCGAGGGGGCGAGAGGGACGGTGAAAGTGTCGGAGAAGCAGAGAAGCAGAGGGATTTCCAGCCGGCTCCATCCTCTCCCCTAACCCCCCGAAGCGACGATGCCCCCCGGCCACCAGGCTTGCAGTGTGTGGCACTGACGGACCGGTCGACGGGGAGCAGGAGCTTTGCCTCAATTTCTCTCTGCTCTCCGCTCTCTAGTGCTTTCTTGTGCGGTTTTTTTCTGGATCAACTTGCTGGTGTCTATCATTATTTAGGATTTGGATGTCTGATGGTGTTTGCCCTGATTGTTTTGCGTCTCAGTCTTACTTGCTCCGTATTTCCGGATGGTTAAGGGATCGGGTAGGCTGAAGCCGGTTGTTTTTCAATCAGATACGGTCTTGCCGGTCGATGATTTGCATCCGTTCTCTTTCTCTCGCTCTCCCTCTCTCTCGCTAACTCTCTCACTCTCTCTCTCTTTATCGCTCTCTCCCTGTGTCTTTCTGACTTTCACGTTCGTTCTATATTTCCGTTTGGGATTTCTCTAAATTTTTACGGAAACCCGGTCGCCCTGAGACTAGCACCGTCGCTTTAAAATCACCTCGGTTCTCTTTAGCTAAAATTCTATAATTTTTCTATTTCTATCGCGCTCTCAATTTCTCTCACTCTTTCCATCTCTCTCCCTGCCTCTCTCTCTCTCTCTCTCTCTCTCTCTCTCTCTCTCTCGCTCTCTCTCTCTCTCTCTCTCTCTCTCCCTCTCTCTGAATAGACATCGTCGCCCCGAGATGACCCGTTTCTTCCTCCATTCCTCCCCCTCAGGCTCCCCTCCGCTTCTTCTCCTCTTGCCCCCAGAGCCGCCTATTCACTCGATCCCCCCTCCGCCACCACCACCAAAACCGGCCATTTTCGTTTATACCCAATTCCTCCGATGGTACACTCACCGTCAACAATTTTTGGTCGATTTCCTGCCCCTGTATACGGGTTCGGAAGGGATCAACCTATTTTGCACGTTTTTGCCGTATCCGCTTCCGCAAAACCCGTTACAATTCCGGTTTTTCGATCGATGAATTTTGTTTTACATTTTTCTTCAAAGAAATTCTGCTAGCTGCTTTTCCTGTTGGTCATCGAGGGTAGCAAAATTTGTTTGAGCTGAGAACCTTGCAAGTTTAGAAACTTTTCGCTTACTACATTTACGCGATTTTTAAGTTTTTGAATTTTTCAGTTCTTACGGGTTGCCATTATGGGTGTTTTTCCCTTGAAATAAATTATATTATATTTTTCTAAAAAAAAATACACATTATCCTTCTCCCTTGACAAATATTCCGTTGCTTCAAAGTCCTCAAATACCTCATTTTACATCAATAATTTTAAACTTGCATTTTAGACGCCTCCAAGATCCACCAACAAGAAAATTTTCTAATTTTTATTCCCGAAATGGACGGGCCGAAAGGCGGCCTAGAATTGGGCGTGCGGAGACGGAAGAAGCAAGTGGAGATTCCGAGGAATCAGGATGGACTCTATCAACCATACATTAAGGATGGGAAGAAGATCACGGAAATTGCCAGGTTTGTCTTGATTCCTACGCGTGTGTATCTGTATCTCTCTCTCTCTCTCCTCTCATCTCACGTAGGAGCCTAGTTCCGCTCATGCGCTACGAATTTCCGAAATTCCAAACAGAATGCCGATGCCTTACAAGACCAACTAAATGCAAAAAATCATCCCGCTTGTCGATATTTTCACTAAAAGCATTTTCCTTTGTCGGCATTTTTCGATGTAGCGAAGAGTATCCACTCAAATTTTGAGCCTGATTCATCTCCACCGTTTTTCTTTTGGCCTGTCATTACCATGCATCGTTTCGAGACCCAATTCTGGCAAAATCCCGATGAAAAATGCAAGATAAAATTTATTTTAGCCATAACTAAAAAATTAAAGTCGCTAAGACATTGAAAATTTTAGTGAACATTTTAACTACACTTTTCAGGCCGATCGGGCCCGAAATGTGGTGTCATTTTTGGGGACCACCTCTATAGAATTTTCATCAATCACTCACCAATCATCATCCCCCGATCAAACACCTATGTGACGCCAGCCAGCGCGGCTAACGCCTTTCTTGTGCCGGATCGTTTAAGTGGGCTTAGGCCGGTTTTGGCAGTACGCGAGACCGTACATACGGTCGGCAGTGTACCATCACGTCTTTGGTTCACTCGCCCCCTCTCGCTCCCTCTCTTACTCTCCGGGTTTCTGAGAGCCTCCAGGCCTATCTCAGCACATCAGCCTGCCGTTTCTGTGCGCGCTTTCATAGCCCGAGGGCATGTTCCATCCCTCTCCGCTCGATGGCTCATGCTCAAAAATCTTGTGTAGATCGAGGGGTGAGATATCGCAGGGGGCGACCTTTGTTTTCGAGATATTTGGAGGGCAATGTCCTAAGGGCGGGAAATACGGGTTTGTATTATTGTGCTTGTCCAGAGAACACACTTTGACCTTGCGACCTGGGTCGTATTCCGAAAATTCGGGGGAAATCAGCTTAAAGGTTTAAGTCATCTTTGGCTATCTATGGAGCATTAGCCCATATTTTTGGGGAATAGGCAGAAAGAAAGACAGCGACTAATGCTTGTGTTTGATTCTTGAACCTTACTAGAATTTTGTTTAAGGCATTTACAGTTTTTCAAGAAATTAAGAATAGGATCAGAGAGCGAGAGAGGTAGAAATAGAGAGAGCGAGAGAGAGAGAGGTGAGAGAGGGAGAGAGATAGGGGGAAATCTAGAGTGAGAGACAGAGATAGAGAGAGAGAGAGAGAGAGAGAGAGAGACAGATTGCGAGAAAGTGAGAATCAGGGAGCGAGGGAGAGAGGGAGAGAGGAAATTATTCAAACGAAATTACTCAAATGTGCTAATACCGCAAAGTGCCGTTGAAAAGAGGAGAAACCATTGAAAACTCATCAAGACAAGCCAAAATCCTGACATATCCTTGACGCTAGTTTGCTTCTTTTTCACCCATTATTTTGTGTGTCGAGATTTTGGCTTGAGATTTGCGCGTTTCCCTGTTAAAAAACCTCGACAACGCCTCAAATCAAAATTTCCAAATTTCAGGTTCAATCCGGTCGAAGTGTTCTTCGCCGGCTTCATCCCCCCGGTCGTCGGTTCGGTTTCAGCCATCGCAATTGCGCTCATATTCCACAATGACGAGATTTCAAACTACAACTGGCAGTGCGGGGTGTGTTTTCGACGTTTTATTTGAGCTTATCAAAATTATATTTACAACTTTTAATGTTGTTTTTAGCGAGCCCGTCTTCCCTCATTGTCCAGAATCATCAACCTACCTGTGGAGAGGACGTTTTGGCAACTATTTCTCCTTTTTCACGTGCCACTCCGCGTTGTTGAACTGATTACGGGATGTAAGTAGGACACTGCAGGGCCATTAAAGAGCCTCTGAAGGCCGGAACCTGGGCTTTAGTAGGCTTGGCAAGCTGCCAATTTCCTGACTAATCCGATCGATTCAGTCAATCGCTACGACCGACTACGAAATATCCACTATCCACGCGTGTGGTTCTACGAGCTGATGCGGTACACATACCTTTATGGCGGGCTGGTCGAGCTGCTCTTCCTTTCTGGGCTGTCGATTATTGGAGAACGAGAGAATATACGTAAGCCATAGGTCAAACTGGTTAGGTCAGAAATCCACTCGGAGCAGGCATCTCTCCATAAAATCTCATTTTAATCTGGAGCCATTTTAATCCGAAGACGCTCTAGAATCTAAAAAACAAAAAAAATAATTTAGGAATGCACGTCATCTTCTTCTACGTGTTCGGCATCTGCGGCATCGTGTTTATGATAGCGAACATCATGTGCCACAAGCATTCACTCTACTACCTCAATCCATATGTGAGTCTCCGGTAGCTTAGGTTTTGCTTAGGATTAGCTTAGGCTTAGATTAGGCTTCGATTTGGCTTAACTTAGGCTTAGCTTAAACTTAGTTCAACCCTTACTTTCCAGCCCCTTTAAAACACCCCAATTCCAGGGTCCGCTCTCCTACCGGTTGAAGATCCTCTTCTGCTCGTTGTACATCATTTCGGTGCCCGTGCTCATCGGCTCGTTTGTGTTGTACTGGAAATTCTGCATCACGTGGGGTACGTCCAACTCAATCGTACGGAGTTTCCGTCCACATAACAAACTTTCAATGCCCCATTTTTCAGCTTATGATGTGTTCGCCATCTGCGAGTACTCGGGTGTGTTCCTCAACATCATGTACCACGGCTGTGCATTTTTCGATATTCGGCACAAGGTGGGTTTGGATAGCTTAAGATCGGCTCTGCTAGCTTTAATACGCCTTCTTATCATTAAAGGTGCACTAAAATCTCGCTCAAAAAACCGCGTCGTCGTCGTGAATTTTTCCCTTTGCCGGAGCGGCCGGACCCTTCATAGCCCTTCGCCCCCCTCCCCTGTCCCGTGTCTCCCATGGCCTAGTGGTCCAAAGCCTTTGCCGTAGGCGAGTGGCCCGGTTTCGGTTTTGCTCCGCGGCGAGCGCCTACCGTAACTCTGTTTGATAAACGGCGGACGGTTACCGGCCGGTAACCAAACCAACGAGACTTTAGTGTACCTTTAATCCACGTAGATGCAAAAAATTCTGTACTCGTTTAGCTGCCACAAATTGGCAGGAGTTTTCAATCCATTTTCAGAAATTCCGTAGTTTTAAAGACCGTCAGAACGATGAAAATCTGTTAGCAGTTGCGCACCGGGCGGGGGTCGAACCCGCGATGGTTCGCTCCAGAGTCCGACGCGCTAGCCACTATACCACAAGGCCAAATGGGTAAGGGAGTCAAAGGCACCCCAAACCCAAGTGGGCCTTTGCCCGAAACGGGGCACTACTAATGACGCCTGTCTCCGCGCGTTCTTGGGGGCCCCACCCTGGGCGACAGTGTGCGTTCCAGAGTTCTAGCAGTCTTTTAAGATCTTATCATTAGGTCCAACCGTGCGACTCAGAAAAAGTCATATTCCATCGTCAATTTCCAGGTGACGTTCACCGTGCGACTTGTTGAAGACGCGTCAAAACACAGGGAACACCGTCCACCCCCGGAGCCCTTCGTGGTCGATGACCACATTGATGATGACACAGACAGCACCCCGTCCTACGAGATGATCGTCACCAAGGACCCGAATGGCAACGAAGCACGTCGTGTGGATAAGGGTTGACGTGGTGGAGACGGAAGACGATAACCAACACCGATAACCCATTAAAGGTGGCTGGACGTTTGATATGATTTTTGGACAATAACTAATCTTAACTGATTAATGTAATTTTCAAAATTCATAGGGATATCTGAACCAAAAGTGCTAATTTTATCCGCTTTGGTTAGAGCGCAGTTTACCCCCCCCCAGCCGGCACCCAATTTTTGGTCCCGGCTCCCTGTGCATCTACAGGTGTGTAAAATATACCAAAATGTTCGTCTGCCCTGCCCTTAAGCCTCCGCTTTATCGTATCGATCGGGCTACGGTTTTAACTTTTAATACAATCTGTTAGACTCAAATTCGATTTAAAGGGACCGGCAATGCACTGGTTTAACAAATGTATAGGATTTCATAACAAACAATGCTAAAATTTTACAGCTATCCCCCGATTCTCCTATCCCGGAGGACGGCCCACCAAAACTCGTCCACCCCAAGTCGCCGATCCTTCGAATCTCAATTCGATGAATTTTTTCTGTTTGGTATCTTGCAACCTAAAGCGTATTTTTCGATTTTAACGAAATTAAATTTTGGAATTCGAAAAATACGCTCAAGTTGCATATTTTCTACCCTGTTTATGTACTTTTCCGGTTTCGCCCGTTGCCAACTTGCCACTCGGCTTTAATTTGCTCATCAAAGAATTTTTTGGCTTGCTAGCATTTTTGTATCTTACATTTCATGTGTTTAAGCTAATTTACATAGTTGCCACTTCTTCAAGGTATGGTCTATGTCGAAAAAATTGGCGCTTTTAGTTAAACGAAATTTTGTATGTCACATATTTATTTCAAGTTTAGAGTGCAGTTTACCCCCACAGCCGGCACCCAACTTGTGTATCTCGGCTCCCTGTTCATCTACAGGTGTGTAAAGTATACCAAAATGTTTGTCTTGCTCTGGAGAGTATTTTGGTATACTTTACACCCCTGTAGATGAACAGGGAGCGGAGATACGGTAGGTGGGTACCGGTTGGGGGAAGGGGGTAAACTGCACTTAAGTATTTCAATTCCGCTCAATTCCTCGCTTACGATAGTCATTTTCGTCCGTGTCTTTCGCATTTTACATGTTTTTTTTCTATTGGTACGTAAAATATTTATTGATTTATCGAAATATAATGACATATCCGCAGCTACAGTAGTCTTTGGTAGTGTGCCAAGGGGAAATATATATCATTGAATTCGTGAATTGCAAATAAATGAAGTTTTACAGGATACAAGAACCAAAAAATAACGGTAATGAGATCCACGGTAATAAAATGACTTAAAATGCGAACAAAATAATACGATAGATTACTAATGCCGCTACACATCGTTGGGGTTTATTTTGAGCTGATACCGGGGGTTTAGGAAAATTACTGATAGGGTGGAAAAATGCAAAAAATATGGAAAATGGAAGGATGGGTAAAAAAATCATTCGTTGTCCTCGATATGCGCGCACGACTCTCCCGCAAATGCACAAAATTCACACGGGGTTTTGTAGGGGGTGGATGGGGGGCTACGGCGTACTACTATGTACAAAAATCACCTTTGCGAAATACAGTGGAAATCAAGTCTGTTAAGTATCAAATTTTCCTATAGGTAAAGCCAATTCGATGAGAGGTGGTTGGGGAGATAAAATAATACAAAAAAAACGGCAAAAAATGCATAAAAACGGACGGCTTCTCTACCACACACGGCATTTGCCCGCCGGGTTCAGCGGCGCGCCCAGTGGGCACTTGTACGCCTTCGCGAACTCCTCGAGGTTGGAGAGTACCTGGAAAATTGGTGGTACAACTCGTATAAAAGGTTAAAGTTAGCTAAAACTCCCATAAAATTTTTAAATTTTGTTTTTAAACGAAAATTTGTTGAGCATAATTTTTCGGATCGGATCCGAAAAGCTCGATTTCCGGCCACCAAACCGTCAAACAGCGCGGTGTTGTTAATTTTTGCCATTGGAATCTCCGGGTAAAAAATGCAAAGTCAAAACCATCATGTGTCCTGGGCAGGGCAAGGGCCAAATTCCGCGAAGCGGTTTTCGAACCTTGGTTGGGCTGAACGCTGCGAAGCGGTTTGTCAACCCTGGTTTTCCCGAAGATTCAAAAACAAGGCAAAGTGCCGTCAACTTAATTTTGAAAAATCACAACTAACCGTCCTTGAAACTGATCGAAAACCAACTGAAAACCTAACCCGCCCGATGCTTCACGATGAACAAGAAATTGGAAGATTTAAAGTTTTCTTTAATTGATCATTAAATTCATTTAACCAAGTATCTGATCGGATTTGGTACCGTCACCCATACCCAGTTCTTCTACCATAACCAACTCTCATAAACTGACCCCGCTGACGCGGAAGAGCTCGGGCGAATGCTCGTCGGTGAGCACCTGCTGGATGGCGGCCGCCTCTTTCTTGTGCCCGCACCAGAACTGGAAAATAGCTTTTGTAATCTTTACTGTATTTCGGCATACTGTACATCAAAATGGTAACTACTCTGACTTACATGTGCATATGAGAGGAAGAACACTTGATCATTGGTGAACATCTGAAGCCCGGGCAAGCGTGGCTCTTCGGACCCTTGCGTATTGATGTATTTCCGGTAGGCCTGAGAGAATTGGAATAACTCCAAAGAGCATGTCAACATACCCTGAACGCCTCTTTGACGCCGCCATTGTCGGCAATGTTTTCCCCTTGCGTCAGTTTGCCGTTGACCTAAAAAATTTCCGTTTTTAGCTTCAGAATTCTGGACCTTTCGAGTTGCTGGCTGTGATCATAATTAGCGTCAAAGGGTAACATGCCTTAAACGGTGTCCCGGGCACGCTGTAGTTCCCGTACTGCTCGACGATGCACGTCTTGCGCTCGTTGAAGCCGGCGAGCGAGTTCTCGTTCCACCAGTTTTGCAGGTTGCCGTTCAGGTCGTATTGGCTGCCTGGAGGAGAGGTAAGGTAGATAGGTATTAAAAACTACAGTATGCACCTAGTTACGGTATATAAAGGCCGTAATTCATACCCTGATCATCAAATCCGTGGGTGATCTCGTGGCCGATGACGGCTCCCATCGCTCCGTAGTTGACCACTTTGGGGTATTCCCCGGAGAAGAATGGGGGCTGCAGGATACCGGCGGGGAAGGCTAAAAATGACATAGGAGTGTAAGTATATTTCTCTTTCTCTCTCTGTCTCTGTCTCTCTCTCTCTATCTCTCGCTCTCTCTCTTTACCTAATGGCTTCTAAAACTCACTAATCGCATTCTTTTCTGGCGAGTAGAAAGCATTGACGACAGCCGGCGACACGTCGAACTCCTTCTTGTCGAACGGTTTCTCCAGCTAAACCTCATCAATTTCAGGTCCGAAAGTTGCTGCTCACCTTGAAGAACTCCTTCTCCTGCATCCAAACCACCGCCTTGCGCATCAGGGCAAAGTAATTGTCCTCGGGGAGCAGATCGAGGCGCTCGTACTTTTCGTCCAATTGTTTGTTGTCCAAGATGAAGTCGGGGTAGCCGATGTTGTTGATCATCTGCTTCGCCTAAAATTGTGAACTTGTTGAAAATGTTGGTTATAGGGACAACTGAAGAATCCAGGAAATTGATAGCCACACCAACCTTCTGAATTGCCACCGCTTTCGTCGCGCCGTCCATCCAGTCGTTCTCCGTGACAATCTCGCTGAACGACTCGCGCAACAGGCTGATCATCTTCTGAAAAGCAGGAGATTGAGCTGCTTGGAATGGGTGTTTCATACCAGTGCCTCCAACTTGTCGGTCGATTGGAAGTGCTGGCGCACATAGATCGCTCCGGCGGCGAGTGGGAGGAAGGTGGATGGGACCTGGGCGCACTCCTTCCACCTGGGGCTCCTCTGCTGCTGTCCGGTCATGACACGCATTAGGTCCTGCTTGATGTTCTCGAAACGCTCGTCGAGGAACTTCATGGTGGCCTGGGCGACGCGCCAGACACCATAGTTTCGAATCAGTCGCGCGTTGGACATTTCGAGGAGTTGTGATACCTTAAAGAAATATTTTTAACGTTCAGTTATGCATAGCTCAGGCTTATATTTAGACTCATGCTCAAGGCTTAGGCTACAAACCTTTTTCAGGTACTCAATCTCCGTGACAATCACTTGGGTCTCGTTGGTGAAGTAGTAGGTCATATTCGAAGGGGCGATCGCGGTGAAATAGTGCAGCCAATCGACCTGAAAAACAAGCGCTAATAGTCAGGTAATGGGTACGGTACCTGGGGCAACATTTTGTACAGCTCGGCGATGGTCAACTGGTTGTACATGCGGGTGTTGTTGCGGCGATCGTCCTCGGGGACCAGGATCTGGAAGAAATGAACCTATTTCAGGGAACAAATATGTAGAATAATTTTTTGAAGGGCAATGACATGTATACGCGCAAAATTTTGCTTCTCTGGCGACTCACCCTTGCGATCTGTGTCTCAAACGCGACAATTTCCTCAATCTCCCGGTCCAAGTCTTCGTGATTCTGGTCCAACTTCGCGTCGACAACCAGGATTTTCATGACCTAATCAAGAAAGCTGATTTTATTCTGCGGGTAAGGTTATACCTCGCTGATGTACTTCTTGTAGGCGTTGATCTGGTGCGAGAACATCGTGTCGTTCAGGTAATAGTCGCGGGACCCACGGCCCAGGGTAAGGCTGCTTTGATCGACCTGAAAAAGAAATAAAGTTATACAAAATGGATGATGTGTCGACAGCTACGTTTTCAACGCCGATACTCACCGTAATCATATTCCTGGTGGTGTTCTTGGCATCGGCGTAGACGTAGATTTGGAAGAAGAGGTCGGATCCGAAATGTTTTCTCGAAACAGCGAGGAGCGACGTCAAAAAGTCGTGCTTCGTCGATCCATTTTGGGTGTCGGCCGCTGTGTCCTTGCCGGTCAGCATCGGCCAACCGCCGAGCTCATTGATGGCGTCAAGGAGGAGGCTGGAATTTTGCGCTAAGTGGGCACTTTTAATAGTATCCTAAAAGCGTTGAAAGCCGTCAACTCCAAGCAGTTCAGGCATCAAGCTACAGTGCGGGTCAAAATGATAGGTCCACCTAGTTTTTGACGATTTTCTAGGCGGAGAAGTAATTTCTGACTAACCCAAATACTAGGCCTTGTAGTCCTAAAAAAGAAGAATTTTTTGATCTAGTTGAAATGTCTTGGAATCAACGGGAAGCCGATTTATAAAGCAGATACTAAAATAGTGGGAAAAACCGATGTGTCAAAATGATAGGTCCACACTTTACATATGATTACAATCAACGATACGTATGAATATTAGATGCTAATGATATTCTAATTATGGTAATCATTTTCCGGTTGACTTTTCCGAGATAATATTGCTGCTATGCATATTTTTCTACATTGCATCCCGATCAGCATCTAATATTCATACCCGTTGTGGATTGTAATCATATGTAAAGTGTGGACCTATCATTTTGACACATCGGTTTTTCGCCCTATTTTAATGTTTGCTTTATAAATCGGCGATCTGTTTTTGTAGAGATATTTTGAATACATGAAAAAATTTGTCTTTTCAAGGGCTATAAGAGCTGCTGTTTCTATTTGCTTGAAAAGCGTTCTCCGCCGAGAAAATTGCGAAAAAGTATGTGGACCTATCATTTTGACCCGCACTGTAGTTAAACAAACTCGCAGTTACCTCGATCCCAGCACGTCCAACTGCCCGGTGTTCATGCAAATCTTGTAGGCGGTCTTGGCCATGTTGATCGACTTTGAGGCGGACCCTTCCTCCGATTCCAAGAGCACTAAAAAAGTTGATAAAGGTTTTGCGATCTCGTACTACCTCTCAACTGTAGTCGCAACTGCTCACGCGCATAAGCAAAGGTACCATAGGCGAACATGTCATCGGGAATCGGGTGCTCGCGGTTCCAGCCGCCGCAGGCAAACTCGAAAAAGTTTGAGCACGGGTCGGCTGATGTGTTCATGGCGTTTAGCTAAAATTAGGGTGTTAGAAAATTTCGAAAAATCGTTATGGCGCTTACGGCTAAAACGAATCGCTCTTTTTAAGCGTTTTTTGAGAGGTTTGAGGGACCCATTAAAAGTTTTAATTTTTAAAGTGATCCTTACCAAGTTGTTAGCGGCCCGAACGCATCCCGGCGTCGTGCACGTCGGAATCGGTTCCTCGGTCGTAGGCGTAATTTTTGTCGTTGTTGGGGCGTCTGTCGTGGGAATTAGACCTGGCCGGAGATCGGTGATCGGAACCGAGGTGTCAATTGGTTGGTAGGAGGCTAGAAAAGGTTGGTGTTCAGGTGCGAGATCGCCAAAGCGGACCGCGCGAGAAATGCCCACGTTCGTGCCATTTAGCCTACCCTTTGCCGCGTCCATCTTGATGATGACGGCCGTGAGGACGCAGACCAAGACGAGGAGAAGGAGGATGGCTAGGAGGAGAAGTCGCACTGAAAAAAGGAAGGTGATGAGCGTTCTCTAGTTCTCTCGTTCTCTCTCTCTCTCTCTCTCGCTCTCTCCACCTACCCAAACACGATGTCTGCTGAACGAGTCGTGTGAGCGTCTGCAGCGGCTTCTTCCCGGCCTTATAAGACACCGTACCGCCATCGGCTGACAGGTCCGACGGGGGACCGTTGAAGCATGGGGAGCTGCTAAAAAAAGATGTTCAAATTTCGCCCAAACGACCCTCTTTCATTTTTTATTTGTTATTTTCATTAAAGTACTCATTCCTCTGCAAGTACTCTCATTGCCCAGTTTCCCCCCCAAAAATAATCTTCACCTCTTGTGCCCCGCTTCAAAGATCTCTATCGGGACCGACGGCGGCATACCCGTACTAAAATTCGCCCACATTTCTTTTGCATCCCGAGTTTGAAAAAATGGAAAATTAAACAAGGCAACGACTCGGTGGTGCGACATTCGCGGGGGCGTCGTATAAACAATCGGTAGGAACCGGCGGCAGGCAAAATATAAACACGCGGAATGCGGGTGGTGTTGCGGAACGGCGGGAAATTCTGGTCAGCCAAGAATCGGGGGGAATCCGGAAAATGGTGACTTATTTTTTGGCGGGCACCCGCCTGGGGACAAGCCCTCGACAATGGGTGCAATGGTTGACAATGGCGCCGTTTAGAGGAGCGTTCCGGAAAAACTCGCAGAATTCTATGCGGGGTGTGATGGCTGACCGGAAGTGGAAGGAGCAAAAAACTAAGCGTAAAAAGGCTGGAAGGTATAGAAAACATAGAAAAGGTTTCGAATCTAAGGACGAGATGTGTTGATACTTATCCTGAGCTCGGGATCGCGAAAAACCTCATATGATACGGGATTAAAGCAGGTAAAATGGAAGTTAAAAGGCCGTTTGCGAGAGACCCGGACAAGGCTTGGCACAGTTTTTTTCGACCCCCATTTTTTGATGCCATCTGATAGAGCGTGGTCGAATTAGAGGAATCGCACTAATTTGGGATTTTTAAATTAGCATTTTCCTGGTTAAACAAGGCGTTAAAGTTGCCAACGTCCAAAATTTATCTCGACGACTACTTGATAGAATTGGCTGAAACTTTGTGACTGGGCCTAATTTGGGATGGTGATCATTTTTCTAATAGATCGCGAAGCACGAAAATTAGCAGAACCTAGTTAAATTGCATACCCAAAACAGTTTTTGCCAAATTTCAAATTAACGGCGAGTCGGCCGCAAGCTGGAATTAGGCTAGAAAGATGCGCAAAATTTTTTGCATCGATTGATGTATTATTTAGGTGGCGGCCAGGTCGCCGTTTTCTTACAGCGAGCTTTTTATAACTGAAAAATGGTCTGAAAATCTGACTAAAATGGAAAATATTGTGGTATTTACATATCGGAGTAGTCAAAACGCATCAAGAAATCATGCCAAGTCGATTGCAAAAGAGCAAAAAGAAATTCGGCTTCTGAGGTGAGCTGGGATTGAACTGGCGGCGGCTCTGGATTGGCACGCCGACGCTCTACTCACTGCGCCACAGGGCTCCCAGGCGGAGGTCCGGGTTCGATTCCGGCCCAAAACAAGCACCCCTTCAAATGTCGAATTTCTTTTTGCTAATTTTTTGCGTTTAGCTTGGCGTGATCGTTAAATGTGATCCCGTGGGTCAAAACATAGAAAATCGCAAAATTTTTGATTTTAGTCAGATTTTCAGACCATTTTTCAGTTATAAAAAAGCTCGCTGTAAGAAAACGGCGACCTGGCCGCCACCTAAATAATACATCAATCGATGCGAAAATTTTGCGCATCTTTCTAGCCTAATTCCAGCTTGCGGCCGACTCGCCGTTAATTTGAAATTTGGCAAAAACTGTTTTGGGTATGCAATTTAACTAGGTTCTGCTAATTTTCGTGCTTCGCGATCTATTAGAAAAATGATCACCATCCCAAATTAGGCCTAGTCACAAAGTTTCAGCCAATTCTATCAAGTAGTCGTCGAGATAAATTTTGGACGTTGGCAACTTTAACGCCTTGTTTAACCAGGAAAATGCTAATTTAAAAATCCCAAATTAGTGCGATTCCTCTAATTCGACCACGCTCTATCAGATGGCATCAAAAAATGGGGGTCGAAAAAAACTGTGCCAAGCTATAATGGGGACTGTTCGAGTGACTCGCGGACGGCCTTTTAAAATAGTTAAAACGGATTTAACATAGTATTGCCACGGAAACGGCGTTCCCGCCACGCTGCCCATCTACGCTTATATACAAATCGAAGGTTCAGTCTGTTCGTTTCCTCAATAATCCCGCCTTCCTTCCCGATTTCTAATCAACCGCCGAAAAAAACCGGCAGTTGACCCAGGTAGACCCTTTTAACTGTAGCGCCCGCTCTCTCTCTCTCTCTCTCTCTCTCTCTCTCTCTCTCTCTCTCTCCTTCTCTCTCTCTCACACAGCTGGTTCAATCCTCATCCCCCACATTGAAAGTCAAGGTCAAACACTTTCTTCATCATCCTTCTTCCGCTCGCGCGCTCCCCTTTTTCATGCCCCAAATTAAGTGGTCGAGCCGGGTGATCCCGGCTATTTTAAATGCGCCCCGGCATACATCACATCAGCTGACGAAGGATATTTGGGGGCAGTGGGTCTGGGGATTTTAAAGGCAACTTCTAGAATGGCTTAGAACTAATTAGAATCGTTATCTTGGAACCCGAAAGATTAGCCCGGGGTTTTTTTTCAAACCATCACTATGGAAAGTGGGCCTTTGCCCGAAACGGGGCACTACTAATGAAGCGTCTCTCCGCGCGTTCTTGGGGGCCGCACCCTGCGTGACAGTGTGCGTTCAAGAGTTCTAGCAGTCTTTAAGGTCTCTCAAGTTCAGTCATTTATGATCCACCTAGCAGAGAACCTTGATCAATTTCCAGGCAAAAGATCAAAAAGTAAACCAAATCAACCCGGGATAGGTATTGAACCCGGTCTGACGCACATCGCCCTGCACTTTTCGATTTCCCATGTGTTTCCGGAAAAGGGCACATTTCGGCAAAGAGGTATGCGAGGGATCATGAGCCATGTGAGCGGCCATTGCCTCCTTGCCTTGAGCTCCAGCTGTGGTTATGGTTTCAAAATCGCTGGAGAAAATCTACGAAATCAGCCTCGAGGCAAGCGCGCTTTCTAATAGTTTAATTTTTGCCTATATCCCGCTGAATAAGGTTTAGATACTAAATGGAAAATGCTTGATACGATTGGTATCGGAAAACGGGATTTCGATTTGTAGAAGAATTTCCATGTATTCCTTTTTTGCAAATTTTTTCTTTCCTTGATTCATGATTCCATTCAACCGCGCCGAAAAGACCGAAACAACATAGAAAACTTGAACAAAGGACTGCCTTTTCGGGGGCTCCATTGAATTTGCGCTGCCGTTTCTCTTTGCGCTCGAGTTGAGAGATTTTTACTGTAAAAAAGACAAGAGGGAGATATGGGTGGGATCACTGTCGGAAACGATAAGTACTGTCCTCACCTAAACGCCTATAGTCACGTTTTTGAGTTTTATTCTGTCAATCAGAAAGGTTTTTCACGGTAATTTAACCCTTTAGCAAGCGCTATCCCACCTCTCATGCTCGGACATCAGCCGCCTTTTTTTGGTTTTAGGTGCAGAAAATAGTGATTGATAGGAGAAGCTGGGCTTGCAATAGTCAATCGGACTGAGAGAATGTTGGTGTTCCAGTCACAGTCATCACAATGTGAGAGAGTGAGAGAGAGAGGGTGTGAGAGAGAGTGATAGAGAGAGCGAGAGCGAGACAATCAATGCGAAAATTGGCACACGACGCGCATGAAAAAGCGGAGGTAACGGCTCGGCGGAGCGGGACCAACGATATAATCCTCTATTCGCCCCGACTATACACCGGAGCATTTTTTGCGGTCTCGATTGTCTATGACGACTACTACTGCGGATGACATTGATGAGTGTTAATTACTGTACGAGTACTGAACCCACTTTTTACGTGGGCCTGAGGCTGAGGCCTGACATTTTTATTGGCCCAAAAAAAATCGTACCTCGGCGTACTGTCGTGTGTCTCCTGCATGGCCATCAATTGCATCGACGATTCCCCCGAGGGCATCGATAGATGAATATAGTTTGGAGAGGAGAATGACGGCATCACACACACACCCTCTACCCGGTGCAGCGTCGCGAAAGAAATCTGGAAAAACGGTGTTAACGCTAATGGCTGGTATCTCGGTTCGCTATCGGCCTAACGGGCTGTAGGTTTTGCCAAAATATTCGCCTTGTCATTTGGAGTATTCTCGCATACCTATAGGATATACAGCTGAAGCGTAGGAACAGCAAGGCAAAAAGAAAATTGATAGGTCGGCTGTTGCGTGGACGCGAATATTAGCCGAGCTCTTCAGCCTCCACTGCGTCACCTCATTCCGGGTTGGCTGCTGAAAGGCGGCTTAAAGTTTAAGATGAAATTCCGACAATCGTGAGAACACAAGAAATGAACACCGTGGACCTCAGAATTTCTTTGAATACGATTTTTCGCTTCTGCTTCTCATAAAATGACGCTTCTCCTCGCCAGGATAATCCGGGGAACCTATTTTGACAAAATCTCCCCAAAATATGCAAATTATATTCCGGAAAAACTCGGCGCAACGTTTCGAAGCGCCCCGCCTACGCCTTGGGCCCGCCGAAATTCGGGTGCCACAGGAAATTGGCCCCGATGTCTGGGGCGTTGCTCCACGACCACCATCACCTCCTCCAGCGGGCCGCTAACGCATAAAAATTCTTCCCGGTCCACCGGAAGCGCCGTCGGTTGGAGGGGTGCGGGTGGAATCACGGACCAAATATATTCAAGGCTGAAGAAAATGCGAAATTTAGTGTCACGTCAGGGGGAACTCGTCATCAAGTTTTGATTCTGAGTTGGCGTGGCGCACGGAACGCCGGTGAAAAATATGGAAAACTTGGAGGTGGCGTTTCTGGACCTCGGAAAAACTTTTCCGATTTCGTTCGTGAATGAGAAAAAGGATCAAGAGCAAAAATGCGAATTCCAAAGAGTCTGGCGATTCCCCGTGGTTCACTAATCAATTTTCGAAGTCCTGAATTTCGGAAGATATTTTTAAATGACTTGCGGAAGAGAGCTGCGAACCGTTTGCTGCTTTAACTTTACCGGAACAAAAAAGAGCAAAGTACAACGGCCTTAGAAAAAAAGAAGTTTGTAGGTTCCGGGTGAACGAACGGGTCAGCCCGGGGCCCACATCTGGAACTAGCCGCTTTTTACTTGGGTCCAAGGGGTCAGTGTGTTTTACGGCAACCCGTTCGAGTCGTCCTCTTGGGAAAGTCCGGAAGGTCCAGGGGGTAGCTTAAGCAAAAGCTATATGCGAAATTGCAGCTTCAGTCGAGCGGCTAGAAAGGAAAAAACAAGATATTTTCTCTGGACGCGCGTGGCGCAGCTAATTAGTATAATCAATTATAACACACCGCAATTGCAATAAGCCTGATTATTCCCGGCGCCAAAGTATCGCTAGGCTGTTTTTGCACCAAAAAGAAGCAAACCAAAATTCCTTAGAACTGCGCCAACTCCTGATCGGGAGACGTCTCGAGACTCCGGAACTCCGTCACCGGGCCATATATTTTTGGGTGGTCGGGCTATTTTCCGCATGGCTATGCATCGATGAGCGGACGCTGCCCGGGATATACTTGGAAAGGAAGTAGCGAGGGGTGAAAAATCGGCTGAGGAAGCGGCACCGGAATACTAAAGCCATCACTGTAAGTGGCGTGGTTAAAAATAGAGGGCGCTCGGAAGTGAGATTCCAAAGTTGCGCGTTTCGGCTACTAGAGAATGAAAGCTGCGCTTCACGTTGCGTCGTGCTCGTCGGATCTGGGAACTTTGCTTGAACGCTTCTCAAAGATAGATAGAGAATCGATAGGGTGATAGAGAATCATTGAAGGTGATTTGCCGTCGCTCGGGGGCTGACAAGGAGGCGTTTTTAGTGCCGTGGCGATTCAAGTTGGGTTCAAGATTGAGACCGGTGCAGGATCTTGCGCTGATTTGGAATTTGTTTACCGAATTGGCGGAATTGCGGTTTGCCGGACGTTATGAACTATTTAAACGCGGAAAACTACAGGAAGTGGCGCATTTTGAACGTTTCTCGGTTTTTGGTCGTTCCGTAAGTTCCGGAAAACTGAGCTTCCGCAAAGTTGGTAGACCCGCCCGAATCAGTGCAAAATTCTGCATAAGATAGCCTCAATCCCAACATGAAGCCCGGCGACACTCAAAAACGTCACTTGTGAGACTTACTCGAGGCGAGCCGACTCTCGCAGTTAAATATCAGAGATTAAAGGCTAAAATCAAAATCACGAATCGGAAGGCTCAACCTCCAGGCCGAAAAAGAGCATTATTTTATAAGTATAACCAGGCAAAAAGAAATCAAGAAGTGAGAATATCTTCTTCAGCGGGAAAGGCTGTACAAAATTCCAAATCCCACTTCATCACGTAGCACGTAAAAAGGAATGCATCGGAACCCCCGGGGTCATATGGCTGGGTGTCTCGTGGCCCTAGGTGGATGTTTATAGTCGCGGTGGTGGTTGTGGTGGGAGCACTGGCCAGAATTGAGGGCAATTCGAAGCAGATGCCCCTCCTTTCCGCCCTCAAAACTGCCTCCCCTCCTTCGTCTGGCCCATTGCCAAACGGCAGTCCAGCCAATAGAGGGTGTCAATTTCAGGCTGATTTCCGGGACTGTTGATAAACTGGGGGGGGGCTGGGGTTAGAGATTGGCCATTGCCAAATAGAAATCGGATGATCGAACATCGGACGATTTTGTTCGGAAATTGCAGAATTGGACTTGAGATGATGCGGTGATAATCGCCAAGATAAATTCTTGCTTTCGAAAAATTGTTTCAGGTTGGGATGCTCGAGCTAAACTACAATTTCCTCAGACAGCAGCGGTTCTGTTTCCTTTACGGGGGGTGGGGGGTTGAAAGGCGGAAAATATACTGAGAACATTAATTCTAGATGAAAGCACAATATTTAAGAAAGTTATAAAAAAGCAAAAATAACCTTGAAAATGGGTTTTGTAAACAATATTTCGGGACTTTCGATATTTTTCGACATTCTGTTAACGCTATTCGAAGGAGCATAAAAAATATACGCAGTTTTATATACAGCTCAAAAAAATGTACTTTCAGAGAAGAGAGCTATTGAAAATGTACTCTTGAAATAGGACATTTTCTACTGACACTATTGCTATTGAAAACTCTAATACCCTGAGCTCTTCGGAGATCTCTGAATATTTGCCTTGATCCCGCTGGTCGGACCAGAAATGGCTTGTCGTTCTCACATGACTTGTAAAAAAGCCAAAAAAGCGCGCGCCCCGTCTGGCTAATTGGGCACAACCGAACATGATATAGGGTTGCTGAACTCGGAACCGTTAAAAAATGGGATTTGAACTTGGCCAACTACCACGCGGAACTGAAAAATCTGTAGCAAAGACTTTGCATTATAATAGGTCTCGGTCTTCGAAATAACTATTTTTTAGGGGATTTTGCATAAAGTCAAGCGAGGTTTTAGTCTTCCAAGTCCAGAAAACTCTGGAAAATGAATCGGGCAGGCGCTACAGTACCCCAAAATCTCTTAATGGTGAATCGAAGCGAATTTTGAGCCCCGGATCTTGGGTTATAGCCGGAAATCGGCGGATTTCTGGGGTAGTCAAGCCGCCTGCCATTCACCGGATTATCAGGCCGCCAAAATCGGGACCGAAATTTGATTGGCGGCATCGAAATCCAAGGGGCTTAGGTTCAGCGTGAGAGAGAAAGAGTGTGAGAGAGAGATATTGAGAAATTTACCGAAAATCCCTAGTAATAGCTCAAAAAGCAAACGAAACTCCTGTTTACAAAGAAAAACTCTACAGTAGCCCAGCAAAAACAAATCATTTTCGTTCGCAACATGACTCGACGGGAATATGATCCATCAAGTATAGGGCTTAAAAGCCGCATACTTAGGGCCGGAAAAAGAAAAAGTAGCGGAAGAGGCAGAGAGAGAGAGAGAGAGAGAGAGAGAGAGAGAGAGCCAGAGCCACCGGCTAATTGGCATGTCCGGTGGCCGCACAAAAGCTGCGAGACTGGTAATGGGCGAAGCATTTGAAGGGAGGGAATTTTTGAGGGGCCGCCAGGGCTTCTACATCTCTGCTCTCTCCGCAAGTGGCCCACTCTCCGGGATATCGACCCCGTGGGGGAAATGGGCCCCCAACCACCATGGGGGGCAACAGACAGACAGACTAGATTCTGATGAGCATCAAGAGGAGGAGGAGGAGGAGGAACGGCTGCGCGCGTGACCCGCCCCACGATCCCACCACAAAATGGAAATCTGGGCAAAACACTATGGTAATCAGGGGAGATTGAGGGGGATAATGCGAGCCAGGGATTGGATAGAGCAAAGATTGGGAATTTTGGGACTAGCTAAACTTTTACTCCGATTTTTTAAAACTTGCAAATATCAAGTTTTTGTGTCTGAATAATGATTCTCTGAGTTTATTCTACCGGTCCCAAAAAGCCGCTTAGGAATTAATTTTAACCAATTTAATAATAATTTTAAAACCAATTTAATAATAATCTCGATATTGCCGTTTTCTACCTTTTAAAATTTTTATTGTGTTGTGCTAGAAAGCTAGTTTTATTTTAATAATTGTTATTTATGCTTATTCTTTCGTAATTATTTTTAAACACTTACCGTAACTTCAAAAGCAGCTGTCTTTTGTCGTCTGTTAGTCAAACGGTTGTAGTTTTGGTAATCTTGCCTAATTTATCAATTTTTATGCATCTCAAAATGACTAGACACGAGATCACCGAAGTAAAAATGACTGAATATAATAATGTCCTTAAAAATGGTATGACAAGTTGAGCAAAAACAAGACGTTTTTCAGTATTGCTAATGCATATTTTTCGGGGTGCCGCCTTGTTCGATGGAGTACATCGGAATTTGCAGATGAAGGGGTTCACCAAGGGGATGGTGGAGCGATTGAAGGGAAGAGGTTGAGGGATCCATCCCCACTTCGGATGCCAGGTCATCTAAAAGGGGCGTCACTAACAGGTTAAGGGCGATGAAGACCAGGGAAAAATTTTTCTCGTTCTTATTAAGAAAAATTCGGTGGTTTTCAATAGAGTAGGAAGAGTTTAACCCGGTAACTTTCGTTTTTCTGCGCCATTTAACGCTAAAAAGCACATAATTAAACACTTTGGGCGGAACTGACCGGGAAAATGCATGGGTGGGGGCGGCAGGCCGCGTTGTTCGAAATGCCTTAAATAGTTGCACAGGTGCTTCAGCCTTCGCTCCTTGCTACGCCGATTTTGGAACCATACCTGGGATTCTTGGTTGGTTAAATTGAAGTTGCAAACCTGGATGACCCGCATGGAGAGGCCCGTCTCGCCGGCGAGCTTTGCCCTTGCGTGCTTCGACGGTTTTGGTGTGGTCGTGAAGATACGGTTCAGCACGTCTAGCTAGAAAAATATAATTGCTAGATAATTTGGTATTCTCGAGAAACGTTAGTTGAGAAAGTCAGTTGAGCTGACCGAGATTTTGAAAGTATGCCTGATCCGAACTGATCCGAAGCCCACCTGATTCTGTTTGATCGTCGTCCTAGGGCCACGCCGTTTCAAAAACTTGTTGTCATCGTCGAATCTAGAAGAATAATGTTGTTTCTTGAAAAGATTGACTTACGCGTCGACGTAAGCAAATCCTGGATGGTCGTAAGGGAAGACAAACGGGAGGCTCATCGGGTCGAGGAGTCCGCCCATCGTTGGATCGAGCACTGGCTCGTCGACATCGATTTTCAGGTTGGCGCACAGGTTGGATGGGCCCGGTTCCTGTAACGACAGCATACGCAATAAATAATTCTCATAGATGCTGAACTATTTTGGTGAATGATCTCTCTGGCTCTCTGTCCCTCCCTCTCTCTCTCTCTCACTCTCTCTCTCTCTCTCTCTCTCTCTCTCTCTGGCTTACCTGAAAATTCTGAAGCGGCGACCCTTCATCCGCATAAATCGGCGTGCCATCCGAGGATCCAGACGCTTCTGAAAAAAACCTATTGGCCCAAAAAATGGATTCGACTTACCCAATTGTGTGTAGAACCCGCATTCATTGGGAAGACAGTATACTTCGCCTTGCGGTTCGTCAATCTGTAGGCCAGAGGCTACAAGCGACAAAATCACCCTACCGAAACTTGCTGCCCGGTCGAGAACTGCTTGCCGCACCGCGAGCATTTATGGCATTCCGCGTGGAAAGTCATCGTTGGCTAAAGCGGCTTGGTTTCGGCTATAGCTAATGACCACGGTAGCGTAATCGGTAAGTCTTTCCTTTACCCCCCTCTCCGGCAGACGTTCCCAAAAGATTTTCGCTATACTTTTTTATATTACATTATTTTGGGCTGTAATGAAAACTCTTTTTGATGTTTTATCGAAGGGGATAGCCAAAATCCCGACAAAATAGCGGAAATGTCGAAAATCTTTGGAAAGCTCCGGCTGGAGGGTAAAGCAAAGCCAACCTCGTAATTTTACTGGTCATGAGATACTGCAGTGAGTGGTTTCATAGCAAAGAAATGTTACTTAAGTTAATGAATAAACAAATGATACCAAAAATTCCGAATGTAACTTACCGTAACCTTGTAGACAACATCGTACGGTGCGATACCCTGCTTGCACCGCAGACAGTGGTAGGGGCTATGGCTTCTGGAAATAGAGGTTAAAGGGGCTGAATTCGATAGCTTTCCACGCCTGCGTATGGACAGTTACAAGTTAAGCCAAAATTGTATCGATTTTCCAAAATATCGTATAGCCATGGCCGTTTGATAACGCTAAAAAGTCACTACTTAATCGGTTTAATGGCGGCATGTCAAAATCCACCAAAATATTTTGAATCATCCGACTCCCCACTCAAAATAGTGCTGCTGGCAGTAGAGTTGACCATTCCGCTCGTAGCACGATGCCGAGAGGCGCAGATGGCAAATCGAGCAGTTCAGGCAGTGTTCGTGGTAAGACTCAAATGGCTTGATTAAATTTTATCTTGCGCACTTTTCCTACCGTATCCCGAATTCGACACAGGAATTTGTCGTGGATGGGCAGCGCACAATGGGCACATGGGTCCGGGTGTAGGGTTTGCTGAAAAGACACATCCTTGGAATTATGACCGGACTACCATACCCTCAGAAAATCATTTCCGATGCTGTTGACAACCTCGGTGATTGCGCAGAGGGGTTTGATGTCCTCGAACTCGTAATGTGAGTCCATTTCTGCAAGAAATTGCAGGATTACCACCGCAATCACCTGCGACACGCTCAAAAAGCGTCAAGTTCAAAATCGGAAAAATCAAGACGTGATAAAGTAATCCGGAACTAAAGCGTAAAATTTATATTCAAAAACTTAGACAGAATTCGCCGTGCCATGCCATTAATCTGCGGTTACGCAAAAAGGACTGCCGGTAAACGGTCAAAAGCCGGACCCACGCCCCGGCTACCGTATCCCCCGTCCGTGCCATCGAATATTTAGGGGGAACGGCGAGGCGCCGAGTGGGCGCCTTGGCCTAGGGCCCCACTGGGGGAGGGCCCAAAGTGATGATAGGGCCCCTACCAAACAGGGCCAGGGCCATTCATCCACAATCCCCCGGGCACACCCGCTTGGTGTCATGCATTTTGGAGAACAATCCCGATCTGGGCCGGGCAGTCGGACCGGCAAGACTGGTGGAGAACTCAGGTGCAAAAATGACAAGTGTAACAGGGTTGCATAATTGCGTCAATTTTGGGGGTCTCTAGTCCAAAATACCTTGGCGTAGCGTACCTTAGTTAGTAAGCAAAATAGCACAGCTTAACGAATATTAACCAGGGGACAGTACCCCGTTGGGCACCTCGAATTTCTCTGGTGCACCGGTTTTTTTGTCTTTGACACTTCTTTTTGGCACTGGAAAATCTTATCCCCTAACCAGCCCCTTGAAAACGCAAGATTCGACGCAACGCTACCGGTACTGGAAATCGGACAGCGACAAATGCCTAGACACGATACGCATGGTTGGCGGGGTGGGCGGGCGGCCCAAAATTTCGGAGCACCCATGCCTGGGGTGCCAATTATGCGAACGATTCCAATTGCTTCACCTCCCCCCTCCCCGACGGCACACGGTGAATTTCAGTTTTTCCGGCTGCTGCCGATCCGGACCAAAAGGCCACCGGCGATGGCCGGGCATGTAGTGAGGAATTGCGGTAAGGGCAGCCAAACTAGCAGGGGCTGGAATCGAGGTCGTATCCAGAAACGCGTTGTAAATAATGTTGAGTATTTAATAGTGTTGTTAGTAAAATTTAATAATACAGCCATCTTAAAAATTACCTAAAAATGTCATAATGTTCGAAAATTTCCGTATTTTGTCGAAAATCGGCCATTTTTGGTTGAAATGAAATTATTTTGATTTTTTGAAGAAAAACTTGTAAAATTTTACCCAGATTTCTCCCCCACCCCCAATAATGCAAAAGCTCCCTTGAACGGAATAGATTAGACTCCGCCAAATTTTACTTTTTCCATTGTCTTTGCTGTTAATTTATGAATTTTATTACATTCAAAATCACGCATCATTCATCTCACTACCTTTTTGCTGTAGTTTGCATACGCTAAATTCGTTCCAAGTTACAACTCCGTTATTCCCGGATGCAAATTGCCCCCATTTTTCATCACTAATGGCCGATGGGGAATCAGTGCGCGAGGCAGGAAATTAGTGATTCCCGAGTGGCGCATCACCATCTACCCGAGTGTCGATGGGCTGTCAGTTGTAGTGTCATGGACCGGACACGCAACACATATACCACCGGCCAGCTGGCGACACCACCCCATCCAATGGACAATTCACATTTATCGCTTCTCTTTCCCTCTCTCTCTCTCTCTCTCTCTCTCTCTCTCTCTCTCTCTCTCTCTCTCTCTCTCTCTCTCTCTCTCTCTCTCTCTCTCTGAATCAATCACCACCAATTAATTAATTATGGGCCCCAGAATGACTGCGGAATTTGGGAATTTCCGTACTAGAAACGCGCAAGAGCCCTAAAAACGGTAAGACTGCGGTTTAACCCCCCCCCCCGCAACTTTTGTATATCGGCTTCTTGTTAATGTGCCGCGTGTAAAGTATACCAAAATGTCCGCCTCGCTCTGGCGGGTATTTTCGTGTGCTTTACAACCCGGTAGGACAATGGGGAAAAGAGGTACGGTGCGCGGTGAAGTGGTGGTGATACGGAAGAGAATTGCATAATCAATTTGAGTAAAATTTCTCTACACATTTCTCAACCATTTCCAAAATGTCGACCGAGACTAGGCCGCCCGACAGATTGTCGTCGGAGCGAGACGTCGAGTTGGGCTCCACGTCGACTGATGCGTTCACTGAGGGCCAAGTCGAAGAGGGCGGCCCCCTCGCCAAGTACACGTTCGTTGCTCTGACGAAACATTCAATTCCCAGCTCTTAGAAAGCAAAAGCGAATTTTTCAGCCAGATGGGCAACGCCGCCGACGAGGACAAGGTGTCGACGCTGGAAAAGAGCTGCTGCATCGTCACCTTTGTCGTCCTCATTTTGCTCTTGCGTAGTTTTTTGGGGAGCTCGACCCCCCCCATTGTCCTAAAGCGCTGTAAAGTATGCTCAAATGTTTGCCTTGAACTGTTTCCGGTAATACTCCCGATAACCCCCAGCCGGCCCCAACTTTTGTATCTCGGCTCCCCGTTCATCTACAGGTGTGTAAAGTATACCAAGATGTTCGTCTTGCTCTAGCGAGTATTTTGGGATACTTTACACACCTGTAGATAAACAGGGAGCCGAGATACAAAAGTTGCGGGCCGGCTGGGAGGGTATCTGGAGTTCAGCCCTGTTTCCACTGATCACAATCCAATACCAACATAAGATTAGCCAAAAGCCGATTTTCAGTGATCCCGATGGTGGTCTACGGTATAACGGATCTGCAGGAAGAGACGCGCGAGCTGAACCCAAAGGACCTGGAACGCTGGAACGTGACGACGACGCCTTCTACACCCATAACGACAAAATCCTGGCAGGAGATTCTTCGTGAGGGCCTCGTTATTATGGCCAGCAAAGTGGCAAAGAAGGCTACGACGACCACTCCTCCGCCCTCCTCATCTACCGATCCGCCCCCGATGAGCATTAAAAGCACGCCAAATCCTTAAGCCATCCTTGCTCCCCGCCCTCGCATTGTGATCCTTCGATTTGACTCGTTGATTGAAAATAAAGTTGTGTCCCTTTTGTAATGCAGAAGTGTTTATACGCAAAAAAAAACGAAAAATCAATCCTGCTCCTCCAAATACCGCTCGATGTCGGCCTCCATCTTGGCGGGCTCGGTGGTGGGCGCGTACCGCTTGACGACCTGCCCCTTGCGGTTGATGAGGAATTTGGTGAAGTTCCACTTGATCGCGTCTGGAATGGAAATCAGGAATGTGCAATGAGAGATCAAGGAGGGGAAGCTAGATCTACAACCAACCAATCAGGGTCCCGCCCTGCTCCTTTTTCAAGAAGGTGTACAACGGCTCGGCCTGGGCGCCATTGACGTTGATCTTTGCGTACAGGTCGGGCTCGTAGTCGTAGTTGTCCTTTACAAAGTTTCGGACGTCGAGCTAAAAACGCTAATCGTTAGGGGTTGCTTACAAACCCATAGCGCAAAGAGGCATACCATAGCGGGCGGTTAGTGCGCAGTTTACCCCCAGCCGGCACCCACCTACCGTATCTCGGCTCCCTGTTCATCTACAGGTGTGTAAAGTATAGCAAAATACTCGCCAGAACAAGACGAACATTTTGGCTTACTTTACACACCTGTAGATGAACAGGGAGCCGAGATACGAAAGTTGGGTGCCGGCTGGGGGGTAAACTGCACTCTAACCCATCTTTGTGGTCGTGATAAATAAAGATATAAATTAATTTTCTGTATGGATGCCTAAATAGCTTTTTCTCCCCCGCAAACAGTCCAGTACCGCAAAAAATTTCCCACCTCGCAGCCCGGCTCCTGGCCTCCAAACTGGTTACAAGGGAAGGCGGCGACGCGCAGCCCGAGGTCGTGGTACTTGTCGGAGAGTTGCTGAAAAAGTATTGGATTTTTGATAGCATCATTGGTTTATTAATGATTAGCCTGACTGGCTGCGATTCTACTGGATACTAAAACTAGCTAATCCTTACCTTCAACTGCTTGTAGTTTGAGCTGGTGAAGCCGCACTTTGACGCGACGTTGACAATGATCAGGACTTGGCCCCTGCGCGGAAATTGGGTAAATTTTTTCATGTTTGGATACACAAGGACAAGGAAATGCATAGCCCTGACCGACCTATACTTTTCAAGCGAAACGTCTCGGCCCTCTGAATCTTTGACGGTGAACTCGTAGATGGTCTTGTGCGCGGCCATCGCCTCGTCTTCAGCACTGGTAGACCCGCTGAAATCAAGAAAACGATTTCAAGTAACTGAATGCATGTCGCTACTATGCAAATCTATGCAAAGTTTTCTACTATGCAAAATTAGCGCCAAAATCAATTTTCAAGTGAAAAAAAACTTTTGTCGATTCTGGGGGATAGCTAACAAACACTAACTGTGAACCACAAGGGGAAATTTTTCCAAAAAGCTCCCCCCACTGAAAAACCCTATACTCAACGCAACCCAAGCCAAATTAGTCTTGACGGCAAAATGGAGCCGTAGTGTGGAGATTTTATCTGGGATGGATGTGCCGAATTGTGACGGGTAGGGTGAGGGTGGCCTGATTTTTTTTGAGGCAAGAAACACTAAGCAAACCGTTGAAACGGGAAAATTTTATTTTAGCTGCGCTTAACCTTTGGAGGCAGCGTAAGAATCTTGAGTTCTTGGGAGGAATTGGAGCCTGAATCCCGACAGGAAAATACCGACAGACAATTATCGGCATTATAATGACGCTAGGCTGACTGGATGGCTTGCTGGCTAGCTACTTGGATTATTATCGGGATTTTCGTTGCCGGGATTTGGTCATGTTACATTCAGTTTGGCGAGCCAGGCCTAATTTGATTTAGCTTGTTACCACACTTATTAAACTGGCTGTTCAATGCTTCTTTAAAAGGTCTCGTAAAAAAATTACGGAAGTTTTTCGAAATTTACCTACGATAAAATTCCGATTTATAACGACAGGACTTATAATTGAGATCAATGCCAAGCTAAGGAACTACTTTCCGAGGTCAAAAGAACGTAGTCTTGCTAAATGGGGTGGCTTCCCCGGGCCTAGATGCCAAAGCCTGATAAGCCAAAAGCCACAAGCCATAACCTTTAGGATCGAGAATGGTAGTTAAATTCATCAAGCAGGTCAAGAAAGTTTTTTTGATCAACAACAAAATTTTCAAGGGTTTCCTGGACGGAAATACAAATAATCCTACTATATATAAAAAAATAGTGTTTGTGTGTGTGTGTGTGTGTGTGTGTGTGTGTGTGTGTGCCACTTTGCATGCAACTTCCGTCAGCGTGTTCCAGCAGTATCTCAAGAAGGATAGTAGCTAGGGGCATGTTTGATACATCATTAGGTGCGTAATGGTCTGGGGATGACTGCACGCATATCAGATTTATCAAAATCGCCTATTTTCGACATTAAATTTTAGTTTTCGTTGAAAAATCCGAGACCCTCTTTGTTAGGAAGCAATTAGCATACACCGGAAGCGCGGGTAGCCTATATAAAGGAGCAGAGAGCGCATTTTTCATTTTTTTCAGCATGGGTCGGGCCGAATTATGCAAAGTAAAAACTTTCATTGGTCGAAAACGGGGCCAGGGTTGAAAAGTCGCGAAGCGGCTTTTCAACCCTGGTTGCATCTAAAAATCTACCTGCTGGTACCAAAAACACTGCATAAATAAATAGCCAGCAATGAAAATAAGTGCTTCATCTTTTAAGCAATATTTTCCAGTGGTAAGCCGGCAGCCAGACAAAATGAGCAACAATTCGTGGCGTAATCGGTTGTGATCTTTGCTGGCCTGAGGGTCAACCGGCAGCTCGGATCGATTTCCTTCCTACCATTCCCCCGTTGGGGGGGTTATCGCCAATTTGGACATATACGATGGGATTTCTTTGGTCTTACCAAAAGAATGGCTCTGATTTTCGGGGAATTTTTAAATTCGGCTAGACTTTGCTTTACCTCCCCAGCCGGAAGTACCCCAATTTTTTTTAAGATGTCCGGCATTTTGTCAAGGTTTTGACTACGCCATTCAATCGAGCCTTAAAATATATCGTATGAGTTTTAATTAGAGCTCAAAATAACGTAATATAAAGAAGTTATAACGAAAAACTTTTGGGACTTCCGGCTGGGGGGGGTAGAGTAAAATCTAGCCCTAGATAGATTCAACATAGCGAATTTCCGAAAATTCTCAATTGAATAAGGTGTAGAGGGCACTCTCTAGCAAACTTGGGCAAAAAATTAAGAAGTTATTTATGAAAAACTCAAAAAAATCTGGTTTAAAAACATCAAACCAACCCTTTCGCACAGCAGCTCGCCATCGCCGAACAGCCGAGAATCCGAAAAGTATCTAATCCCCCTCGTCGTGCGCCGTTTGATTCGAATGCCCGGTGAATTCGGGTGCGAAATCTGAGCCCCGCCGTCAGCTTTTCATTTAAAGAGGAGGAGAGGGTGCTGAAGCGACGAAAAGACGAAAGAACAAACAAACCATTGTGGCCGTCGAGGTGGTCGAGGGCAGAGCAGAAGGGAAGCGGATAATGAACCCAATTTCGGGGATGTCCAACTACGAATGAGGTGTAAACAAACAAAAAAAAATAGTTGTAAATACCTCGAAATGGCCAAATGACGTTTAAAAAGGCTCCTGAAATTCTGGGAAACAATTTTTGCTGTTTGCACCTTGGCTTTGTTTATTGGCTTTTTGATCATGTGTATTTTGAACGCCAGACGATGGACAAATTTCGGCTCCAGAAATAGCCACCAAAACTTGCTGTTTGCAGAGAAAAAAAACGAAAAACTGGGGGCTATTGGCAGGTTTCGCAATTTTAACGGGCTAGCGAAGGGCAAAAATCGGTTTCTGACTTTGACTGGGTATCAGCTACGTGGAGCACCAAAGAACACGTGCCATTTTTAGACGCCTGGACGAGAGAAGCGGCTATTCTCCCGCCTCCAAGCCCCTTGAGCTAGCCTAAAACTCTAGTTTATTGGCTTTTTGATCATGTGTATTTTGAACGCCAGACGATGGACAAATTTCGGCTCCAGAAATAGCCACCAAAACTTGCTTTTTGCATTAATGAACCGCGAGGCTCGAAATTGTTTTGTAAAGTGGTTTTTCTGAATATGCAATGGGTGCCAGAATAAAAGGGGGTAGGCTGGGTAGGGTGGGCATCAAAATGAAGGTATTCGTCTCGCTGTTATTCGCTTTGCTCGGGCTCGCCTATAGCGAGAAGGTACCTTAACTTTTAGAAAATCGGCTTGCTAGCTTGAAGCTTCATCTAAAGCTTACCTCAGCTTACGGATAAAAACAAACTACAAGTGAGACGTCAAAATATAAATTTAAGATATTGATCGAGGCTCCAATTTTCGAATTCCATCACCAATGTCATCTCGACGGTTTGTTTTCCCAAATTTTCGAAGGTTTCGGTTTTAATGTAATTCTGGATATACTATAGCGTGTTATTTAACTAAAATATTTTCCAACCTCGAAAACTTATTTAAGGCCAATTCTACAACGAGACGCACTTCCAGCGCGACGAGCCCTGCTTGAGATTCCCAAGATGTTCAGGAGGTCAGAAATTATACTATTGTGCTGCTTTTGTAGAAAGACCGGCAAAACAGTCTTCACAATTCCAGGGCAGATCCAATACAGGCACAAGCACGAAATGTCCTACAAGATCCACGCGGATAATCTCGAAAACTTTGCCGGACTGAAGCTTGAGATCAGCCCGACTAGCCAGGCGATGCAGGAGTTGCTGGTCAAAGAAAATCAGATCCAGTACTTGTCGCTTCCGCAGGCCGAATGCGTGAGTTATCATTTTCAGCAAACACTATGAACTTAGGAATTACCATCTAAACCTTATAAGGCCCAAAATTTCAGTTTGGTTGCCCGTACGTCAACTCCAGCTGGACGTACGGCTATCCGGATAAGGCGAAGCGCTGCTATTACGTGCCGCTGAACGAGGGGCAACGACAGCGTGGCAGTAGGCATTAGTCGGGAGAGAGAGAGAGAGAGAGAGAGAGAGAGAGAGAGAGAGAGAAATATACTCGAAAAATCCCTTCCAATTCTTTTTCAGACACGACCGTCGACCTGAGCGTCGTGATGAGCTGTGAGATGAACACCGAGAAGAAACAGGGTATACTGCCAGATCCATGCTTCAGTCTCATTGATACCCAATCATTTTAGGTGTCCTCGTGGAAACCTTCGACCCGTCGGCCTACAAGGCGCCCTCCCTCAAGTACGAGCTGAAAACCGGCTGCGCCACCCTGGTCACCTCAATTTATGCGCCGATTTTGGCACGGCTTGAGGATCGTAGGATTAAGGTATGAATTGTGTCAGATACCAGGGTTGAAATATATAACGCTAGGGATAATCGGTATCGAATCCAGAGGAAACCTATTTTTTCAGCCAAACGGTGGAAAATGCGTTGAGCGGAGCAAGGATGAGGACCCTAGAATCGAGATGCTTTTTTCGCCAGGGGTAAGGGTCACTGTAATTTCCTCGGATAAAAAATTGTATTTATTAATGACTTTAAAAATTATAGCGGTCATTTCAGACAACAAAATCAACATCTAGCTGGAAGCACTTATCGGTTAAACCTGCGCTGAAGGCCTGCAAGCGGGGTAAGTTTACCCGAAAAGAATTTGAGATGTTTTTAGTGACCTTTATTAATGGCTTTATTCTTCTATCTAGTTTTTAACTATTGTAAGTTATTGAATACAAAACGGCGACTTTCAGACGTAACCAAGTTCACGTTCCCAAGCGCCGCCTTCCGCTTCTCCGGCAAGAATGACTGCGAGAAGGGGCAAAGCTACGAGATTAAATGGGTCTGATTTTTCTGGAATCTTTTTGCAAGATGAAATTTCAGTTTGGGAAAGGCTACATGGAAATCGACAACATCCACAATTGTCAAGCCTGATTTGGGTTTTTGGGATAAATAAATTGTTGGGGCAAAGCAACGAATTAAGAAAAAACAGTTTCATGATCCATTAACGCGTGGCGGTCGCGTCGCGTCTTAATGAAGCAAAGGTCGACAGGGTATCCATCGAGTGCAAAGTCGAAACAGTCATTGCTTTCTCGTTTCTTTAACCATATTTTTCCAAAAATCGGCATCTCTTGAGGCTCTGGAAAGTGCCAATTCCTATTCGCACCCCTGTGAATTTTAAGCAACCGGCTTTCGGTTTAAAACGGATCGATGACAAGCCCTAAGACCGCCGGAAGCAAATTCCATGAAGTGGGTCGTGTTTTTATTGGCTTTTTTCCGGGCCGTCCTGGGGGAGGAGGTACTGTATTTGAAGCATATGATAGCGCCTTCCTTGTATGACAAAAATAAAGAGTTTAGGTCGTCCTCGAGACCCCGGTTTACGAGTTGCGTCACCAGTGCAATGTCGAAGGTTCGTCCTGGGATTACGCTACCTTAATCTATGATATTTTTTAAACGGCTTCACAGACTTCGTAAACTTCAAATTCTTTTAGAGCATGTTAAAAACTCTAAAGCTTCAGGAAACTTCCACAACACCAGCGAGCTGTTGGCAGATGTGCCCTGTATGAAATTGCCGAAATGTTCTGAAGGTTCAGCTTTTCAATAAATAAACTTTAAAAGTAATAAAAATAATACGATAATGATGCCACAAATTTAAGGGGGCGTCAAGCACAGCGGACCCCACAAAATGTCCTTCAAGTTGCGCCTCGAGAGTCTGGATGAATTCAGGACGCCCCGCCTGGAGATCAGCCCCACCACCGAGATGCTGTACAATCTGATTGGCTCGGAGAATCGGGTGGAATATGTGGCGCTGCCGCAGTCGGCGTGTGTGAGTTTTTCTTGACCCTTAGCCGGACTTTGGCTTCCCGGCGCCTTTAAAAAATTTTTCATTTCTGACTCAGTTTTTTTTCATCTCTAATGCCATCAAAATGCCGGTTGCAAAAGTTTTGCGCCGTAACGCGTCTACTCAAGCCGATGGCTGACCCAATTGTTCAGTTTGGCTGCGCCTACCGTAACGTCACATGGACGAACAGCTATCGAACGAAGGCACAGTACAACTTTTTCGTCCCGCTCACCTCGAAGCAGCGCCAACGCGGTAGTATGGTTTACGCAGTTTTAGCGGAAAAAGCGGACGCGGCCCTGAAATCAGGGGTGGGCAAGGTATGCAGATCTGCAAATGGGGGACTGCCGGGGATTTCGAGGTGTGGGGCGGGGACCGCCGGGAGGGGGAAGCAAGACGGCGTGTAGCGCCGGAAAAATTATAAGATTTAAAAAAAAGGTAACTGCGATATCCACAACCATAATTTCGCAATGCGGACAGACCGAGACGAACCCACAGACAGACAGACAAACCGACAAATACTGACATACAGGCGGACAGACAGAAAGACAGGCATACAGACAGACAGACAGACAGACCAACTCTCGCTTATTCAGCGTTTCCGAAAACCCTATTCATCTTAAAATCCGAAGTGGCTTTATTTCCCCTCAAATTCATCATTTGTTAGCCAAATTTGGTCGCTGCAAATGGTCTGCGAATGCTAAAAGTCACTTTTTACCCCGAAGATCGGACTGCCGACGCCCCGCCCTTTATGGCCTTGGATAGATCAGCTTACGGTGCACCTTGTCCGAAAATTTCAGGCAAATGCATCGACAAATCACTGAGATATGATTTTTGGAAGAAACCGGAAAAATGTGCTCCTGCAAATGGACCTCCACCTCGGCAGTCCAGGATCTCCGAGATCCAAAAATTTCTCAAGAAGGTTGGCACGCCATCCGATAGCCCTCATTCTCATCTTCAAATTGAGCTACTTAAACTTCGGTTCCGAGCTTCCGGGCCGGAGATATAGCCGGTTAAAGGAGCGGCACTCGACCCTCGAAAACCTGGTTTTGAGCATTCGCAGATTTTATGTTCTACTCCGGCAGTCCAACATCTCCTCGAAGACGGACTGCCGGTGGGCCGTGTGGGGCATGACTCGACGCGCAATGACGAGATCTACACTCTGGTGCCACATTCAGGTCCTCAAATTACCGTATTCCGGAATTATGCCGGAAAAACCTCCAAAAAACGAGGTTTTTCGGTCCGGCAGTCCAACATCTCCTCGAAGTCGGACTGCCGGTGGGCCGTGTGGGGTATGGTTCGACGCAGAATAACAAGCTCTACAATCTGATACCGCTCCCATCGCCGGAAATCATCATATTCCGGAATTAATCCGGAAAAACCCTCAAAAAAGTGCTTGTTTCATGTAGAGCCCCCGAAAATTTGTCAAAGACGGACTGCCGATTGGTAATGTAGAATATGGTTCGACGCAGAATACTGCGATCTACAATATGTTGCCATTTTCGGCCCGTCAAATTACCGTATGCCGGGGATGAACCGCAATTATTCCGAAAATCCTCTCAAAAAGCCCCTTTCCCCGCCCAAAAAGGACTGCGGGATCCCCGGAAAATGGGCTGCCGGGATTTTCCAGCTGCAAGACCTTGCCCACCCCTGCCTGAAATCCAAAAATTATAGATATGGCACGGCAACTAGTTCCTGTGATTGACAGCATTCCCTTGCAAAAGAACACCGAAGGGAAGCAAGGTGCGAGAAATTTGGATTGAAAGTTCGTAGCTTCGGACTGGGCAGTTCCATTAAAGTGCAATTGTACACTTCAATGTTTCATAAACAAAACAATTATCGTATCATCTAGGTATCCGTGTATGGACCTACGATCCAGAGGCCTATACGCCGCCTTCGTTGAAGCAGGTCCTAAAGCTCGACTGCGCCACGCTGACAACCGAATTCCACGCGCCAATCCTTGGCAAGCTGGAAGACCGCCGTATTCGGGTGGGTTTTCTGATTTCCTCCATATGTATTTTTAGCCCTGCGGCGCCGCATGCACAAGAAACGAGACCTGGGACGGGCGCTACGAGATTACTTTCCCGTTTGGCGTACTGTAGCTTTACGATCCAAGTGAAAGTTCCAAATTTTCAGATGACAAAGACCTTCTTGAAGCCGAAGGATACGACGCCTGGGTTGACGTCTTGTAGGCCGGGTAAGCCTTAAAGGGCTGCCGACGGCAAGTGTCGATCCCCCCTCATCAACAAATTGGCAAGTGGCCAACAGGGGATAGAACGCGTCCACGGCAGAGGCGCAGAGACATTTTCTTTTCCGCGTGTAACCGATTGACTATGCCGTCGGCATCCCTTTAAGTAAAAATCGGGCTAGTATGGCTCAGGTCAAGGCTTTACGGCATTACCGTTTGGCTATGACAATCAGGTCAAAAAGCCGATTTTTAGGCCATGTCCAGTATACATTCCCGAACGCGGCGCTCCGCTTTTCCGACAAAAACCACTGCGAAAAGGGCCTGGTCTACCAAATCACATGGGTTGGTCATTTTCAATAATTTCAAAAAAAAATACTTTCAGTTCGGCAAGGGGCAGGTGACGATGCGCAACGAGCCCAACGAGAAATGTACCGTTTAGGAATTACTCGATAATGAATAAATTGTCGAAATACCGAAAAATCACCGGGCTTTCACTCTTGCTCAGCCATGTTGTGCAGAGTGACAAGATGAAAGAGAGACAGAGAGAGAGAGACAGAGAGAGACAGAGAGAGAGAGGGAGAGAGAGAGAGGGAGCGAGAGAGAGACAGAGAGAGAAAGAGACAGAGCCACGACGCAGAGCCTTGCCGCAACGCATATTTCGTCACCTATCCCTCCGACTCCATAATAAACGCCATCAATACCAATAAAAACGCCCGACTGATCGGCTTCTCCTTGCCTAGAAAACAGCTGACAAGGCCACGAGCCTGGGGCCGGAAATTGGCCACGGGGGCCCCTAACAGATCAATCAATTTCTCACCTCCCGATCGGCCTCGACCCGCCGGCATTGTTCTACGCCTTTTCGACGGGCCTCTTGGCTCTAAGCACCAAAAATTATACCTGAAATCTTGCGACTTTTAGATGTTGATATACACCATACTATTACTATTCCACTGTGCTTTTCTGATTGCACAGAATACGACGCCGGCCGGGCCATGCGTCGTCAACATTTCCACACTGAATTTGGAGCCCAAACATGTGAGTTCAGCGATTTTCGAGGACATCCCAAATACCTGTAAAATTTCAGTACAACGGCTCATGGTTCGTGGTGGCGAGAAAGGCACCTGTCAGCAAGGACTATCTGCCGGTTGATAGCAGCTCCTCTATGATGCGCCTTTTGCTGGATGATGAGGGGAATTTGAACATGACCGAATATCACTCGATGTAAGATACTCTACTGCTAGCTATTTCCCTTTTTCTATCAAAAAACCAACAAGGTCTGTTGCGAATCAGCTATTCAACAAGCAAAGGAACCCGACTGTCTGGCAACTGTCTCCCAATAAATTCAGTCATTGTGAGCTTGAAAAATAAAGAAGAAGCGGATCCCCAAGTCTCTCCCCAAAAAGCAAAAGGACTTGCGTCGGCCGGGAATCGAACCCGGGTCGCCCGCGTGGCAGGCGAGCATTCTACCACTGAACCACCGACGCTCGATGGCTGGGCGTGGGGAAGGGGATTATGACGGTCCCTTCCAGCAACGGCACATGCATGCCCCCGCTGTCCGGGTTTTGGCGCCGACACGAGAACGCGTTCCAAATGGAGATGAGGACGGAAAACGGGCAGTTGATACAGTGTACGTTGGAGTGTAGTGTAGCTCTAAAAACATAGCTTTTTCAGTGGAAGTGCGCGCTATTTTCCACGAGCTGTCCGGCGAGAACAACGAGGAGATGAACATGGTCGAGCTTCAGAACGAAATTTTGAAAATGACGTGGTGCTCTAGGTACTGTACGGATGTCGTGCCAGAGAATCCGACGGGAAATGCGTAGCCGGCGAGGAGTTGATCAGCATCATGAGCAACTCGAGGCACCCGCAGACGCTGCAGGTATGGAAACCGGAAACGACTCTTGAATTTGAATCTTGTCTCAGCTCTTCAAATCGGCGAAACACATCGAAGACTTTGCGTGCATCGACATCCTGTTGTTGAATAAAATGGACACCTACAGTACATTTTGGCGGCAGGGAATTGTACCGTTTAGATGCAGCCGAGTGTGGCGATGAGATTGTGGATGAGGATCAGAAGTTACGGTAGGTTGAAATGAGGGCGGCAGCGATTGCCTATAGGCATCTCGAAAATCAGAATCTCGACCTCATCTCCATCTGATCGGCTTGAGCACCACCTAATTTCGGAATTTCCCCAATTTCAGCCACGCAAAAATCTGGGAAAACGACGAGTACGTGGACGTGGAGTGCCGCGCCGAGAACATGGGGCAGTTTGCCGTGCCGATCACCAAGTTTTTCGTGGGTTTTTGGGTTGATTCAGGCACAAAAACCATTTAGGAAGAGCCCCGGATGCTTACAGTGATCGCCTTCAAAGACCCGGAGCTGGAGAAGGAGCAAATATCTCATGTGTCCTGTCTTTATGACTCGAAGACGCACGCCAAGTGCTCGTGGTTAAGGTAAGCGGCGCGAGGCATTCGTAAGCCGAAGCCTAAGCCAAAACCTAAACTTAAGCGTATGAGATCAAGCCAAGCGAGCTATTTAGGCAACGAACCTGCTTTCAAGCCGAGTTGAACCAAGAATTCGAAGAGCCGTCAAAAATCAAGAGCTCCTCCAGGTTTTTGAAGGTCAACGGCACCGAGGTGGAGATCGATCGTGAGTTTACTGGGCAGGCGAATTTTTGAAACTGGCACACTAAGGAAATAACGCCTCGTTTTACGTTAAAGCTATGGATGAACAAAGCCCGGCAAATCCGAAAACTATTCGTTGCAGTATCGGGGATGGTGATCTGGCAAAACGGAGACGAGTACATCACGATGCAATGCTTGCAAGTGGCAGCCGATGGCAGTTGTGATCAGCATAGGTAAGCATAGTTAAGTCTAGACTTAAGCCAAAGCTAGCCCAAGCGCCGTTAACAATATTTTTAGGGTATACGTATGGTCGGACGAGGACCTAATGGACCAGCCAACGATTCGCGAAATTTACCGTGCCTTACAGAATGTTTGCGTCGACCCGACGGAACTGATCTTTTTGAACACATTCCGTATGTTTCTTGTTTTCTATGCTTTTATGGCAATCAGATGAATGCGACGATCAATCGGCCGAACCGGAAAAGGTCCCGGAAATCACTTGTGGACCGCAGCCGAACTGGAGCCCGCTCAACACATCGTTACTCCAGGTGAGAAGGGTTTAGGGGTGTGGCGCTGTACTCGTTCATCATGCAAATTGTGAAAAACTGAAGATGGACAACAGCCGCTTTAGATTCCACTTTAGATTCTTGTATTCGCCGTTAGTTTCACACCAAAATTTAGGGCGTCTGGTACGTGGCAGCCGACCTCAACGCCGACCCGAAAATCTTCCTCCAGTCCGCTGTCATCGAGTTCAGCAGCGTCAAGGACAAGTGAGTGACCGCCAAGCAGCAGGAATTCAAATTTTAAGCTCATTTTAACATGCAAATTTAGCCCGGCAGGCCTGTTAATACGATACTACGCGCAGAAGGAGTCGGATCGGGAGTGTGTGGGCCCAGGAGAGGTAAAAGATTCTAAAAAGTAAGTTTAGAAAATACATAGGGCTTCGCACGTCTTCTGGAGAATGGTACGCTGTCGGTGTCGATCCAGTATAGCTATCGTCAGGTGCCGAACTATAAGAATACGATGAATTGTGAGTTTTATGCATAGGAGATACGGTACATACATCAACCTAGGCCCTAGTTTATTTTCAAAGCTTAAGCTATGCCTATGCCTAAGCTTAAGCCTCAGCTTAAGCATCAATCTCTCCAAAACTTATTTTCCAGTCATGCTCCAAATCCTGTACCTCGACAACCAGCGTGCGGTACTTTACTGGTGCTTCCGGAGGGCTGAGAACGGCTCCTGCATTCAGGTACGCGCGACAATCTAGCAAAGAATGCCCCACGGAATTTGGAAATTAAGAAAATCCATAAAAACTGCCTTCATTGGTCCTTTAAGTACGACGTAGACGTGCTCATTCGGTCTCGGTTCTTCTCGTACAGCGATCTCTCCCTGATCCAACCCTACTTCCACCGCGCCTGCGTCTCTAACAACCGGCTGCGGTGGTTCGATCTGCACTGTAGGGAGCCTTAGAAGCCCTAGCTTTGTCCTATCCATTTTTAAGCTTCTTGTGGCTATGAGATGTCGGCTTCAACAAAATTACGGCGTGACATGGTGACGCTGTCGCATTCCGAGGTTATTTTTACTTCGCATCCTTATCAATGGGGGTTTTATTGGTGTTCCAACCTTTTTGGAAGAGGTATCACTGACCTTATCAAATTCTTTTAGGTCTTAGACATCCTCACCAACGTCCAGGAGCCCCAGTGTCAGACCAAACAAATTCGAGGCCGTCGTGCCCCGTTGCACCTGGTATGCTTGCCCAAGCTAAATAAACCCAACCACTAGGTGGAAAAACCGGGCACGTGGTTCTTGATGGCGCAGTTCGACCAGATGGCCCGCGACACCTACGCGACAATATTCCGGATACACACCGTCGGCGAGAAGTTCGCCATCGCCAAGATGCACCAGAGCGCGTGAGTCGAGGGTTCTCATTTAGTGGCATCAGCAAGTTGAACAGTACCGATAAAATTTGCCCTTCTAGAGCAATTCCCGGCGAGGAGACCCTCTGTTTTGAGCGTCTTCTCATCATCGAAGAAGTGCTCGGCGAGGACGGCGACTACAGCTATGTGTTGAGCTTTGATGCCGCCAACCAGGCTTCAACGACTTGTAAGCATTTTCGGCTTTGATTTTCACCCCAACGCCCAATTAGTCATCTTCCGATTCCTGTTCTTTAACCGGAACGTGGCCGTCATCTACTCGTGCCTGAACTACAAGGAGAATGGGCACTGCAAAGAGGTTTGTTTCGTGGCGTAGATGAGCATGGATTTCAGAACGCAATCTACGTGCTGTCACGCCACGAGTCGATCGATCACGCCGAGTTGACGGTGCTGGAGAAGGTGGCCAAGACGGTGTGCATCAACCCGGATATCCTGTTCCATACGTCGACTCATGGTACGTAGCGGCTTCACAGCTATTTTCGTCCGTAGCCGATGACATCAACTTACAACTTCAGATTTCTGCGTCCAAGACCATCGTCGCATTTTCCTACCACCACAGTGCGCCGGCATCGACGCCGTCCCACAAAGCTTCCGGAAACTGCCAGAAGCCGAATATTCGAGGTAGGTAAACCGCCAATATATAAGCAGCCTGACCTCATCGCCTTGTCGTAAAACCCAAACCTTCAGGCTCTACGACAACATCCGGTTGTACGCCGTCGCCTCCAGCCGCCATTTCGAGAACCCGTTCTCGGTCATCCACCTCAAGGGCGGCGTCTTTACGAGAAACGTGCAACTAGCGTAAATCTGATAGTATCGTAGTGGATCGTTACTTTTAGGGATGGTAATTGCAAGGAGGAACACGTTGAAATCCTGGTCTCCCCTACGAATCGTTATTTGTTCCTGGTCCATAACGTGACGGTAAGTTGCAAGTATGGCACTTTGGGCCATGCGATACCTTTCGCTATTTCGGTTGAGAGTTTGCTTTCATAATTACAGTACCTCGTCGATCCATTGGCTCGAAAAGACGAGATATTGCTGAAGAAGGCGCAGTTGAGCGGCGCTGATTTGCCGTGCCTATTTCCGATGAATTATAACGAGTAGGTTTTGAATGTCGTATACTGCTTTGCCAAAGTGCAATAATACTTTGTCGAACTAATAAAATTGTCGCTCACGAAGTTACGGCACCACTTTGTGAGTGCGTAGAGAACCGCTTGCGACTCACGCACATAGCTGCGCGGTATCTTTGTGACCTGAAAATTTCAGCACCACCTGCGACCTAGCGACCCCACCAACTTGTGAAACATCGCCGCCACTTTCAGCCGCCGAGGGGGTATTATTATTAGCTGCGCAAAAAAAGTCAAACTTTCGCTTTAGTTGCTCGGCGACTGGATGCTGTACGCCTCGGACCCATTTACCGTGGCGAATAGCCGCTGTAGAGTCGTCGACCACCCCACGGTTGATGGAGCTCACCAATTCACGTGTCGATCGGAGAGGTGAGGTTTTTTCAAATGCCGATTAAGGTTCTTTCTAGCTGGGACGGCAACTGTGAGCGCGTGGAGTTGTTCCAGTTTGCCGTCGACGCTTGGGGCGGCTACCGGTTGACGTCGGAGGTGCCGGCTGTGCACGAGAACTTTGAGATATTCCCGAGGGGTGGGTGTTGTGTCTTGCAGTGGTGTGTAGAGCTTGAGCTGGACCTGCAGTTAGCGTATCGAATAAACGGCAGGCGTGGAGTTGAGGATGAAATTATGACAAATAATTGTGGGCGAAATCGCAGGGAGCGTGGCCCTTTACGACACATAAAGGGGGCATTGCGGGACCGCGGGGTTACGGTCATATGGTCGCGTTATAGGGATAGCCGACTAGAGACTAGCCTTTCCCCAACCCATATCGTTGTGAATCCTTATCTGCATCCGAAAAAAAACGTACAACGGAAACTTTTCAGGCAATGTCTCGCTAACCGCCGATCGTCTCCTGTTCTTCCGCGAGGACCCAGTGGCCGGTCGCCTGTGGTCGGTGTGGATTCGAACATCCCCCGGCGCTACCCCCGATCCGCTGCAGATGACGCCAAAGGACCTCGGGCAGTTCTGCGTCTGGCCGACCCGTACGCAGATGAGGAGCCTCGAGCAGTTGTGCTAGCGTTGTGTATTTATTGCTCTGATCAAGGGATAGGCAGGGCGTTTTGCTAAAGATTTTGTCGCACGCGCGGCACGCGACGCACACCGGTCTTCTATTGCGTAACGGAATTTTCCTGAGAACCCAGGGCTCGCGTTGTGTGTCGCGCTAGCGGCAAAATCGATTCATTCATGCCTTGCACATCCTTTTCACGCTTATATACCTGATCCGTATTCTAAAAATTTTATTGAACGCAGTGGAAACGTGCATAAATATATATATAAAAATGTTTGAATAATTTTGGATTAATTTTTTGGATTTAATAATGAGCTAAAGGGGGTGGAACGATTGTTTTTCGAAACGGGAAACGGACATAATGCCGCCATCCTTAACCTCGGCAAGCAAAAATGCTAGTTTAGCGTTTTCTTGTCGGCATTTCGGCGGTACGGAGTTTGATTGTCGGCATTATGGGCCGATCCCCTTTCAAAAGTTCACCGTGCCTTTAAGACTTTCAAACTTTTAAAAGAATAATAATTTCACGCTACTACACAAATATTTATGGGGGGGCACGTCTTGGTAAGGAGGTTCCCTGAAAAGACAGACACACCGAGAGAGAGAGACAAAGAGAAACAAAAAGAAATATATAGACAACATAGAATAAAGCGTCGAATCATTGTCTTTCCATATTCATTCAGCGGAGATTCGGGCGGCCATTTAAGAGGCTTTGAAGTGGGGGGAGATTGGGGTGAATAGGTGCTCGGCGGAGCGCTGAGTGGACGGAGCTAGTTGTAAGAAATGGGCGGCAGAATATGGATTAATATTTGAGAAATCGCAAGGGTTGAGAGAAGGAGAATGAGGCGCCAAATTTCATCGGGTAAGCCTTGCTAAAGAATGCATCGTGACGTTACGCAGCGTTAAATGAAGTTACGCAACGCGGCCTAGAGTTAAGTAGCGTAGTGGCGGCTAACGTTGCGAAAATAATCTAGCCTAGTCTAGCTCTGCCGAAAGGACGTCTTTTTGCGTCATATAGCGTAGTTTCGTTTCAGTCAGTCCAACTCCAGCGTATGGGACGCATCGGAATCGTACGGGGCGTATTGTAGCGTGCGATAGCGTGAAGTAACGTAACGTATTATGGCACACTATCCCTACGACGCAAATGTCCCTCTCAATATGTTAAGCTCACAATTGACGAAATGGCGCCTCATCCTAATGTTACAAGAATCAATAAATTCACCGGAATGTCAATAGGAGTGGGGTGTAGCGGGTTGGCAAATTGCGATATCTAATATGCAAAGTATAAAACAAGAATTTCATCGCTAGATCTAGACGTTATGCATCTCGGCTAGCTCTTCCTCCTCTTCCGGGATGTCTTTCGCGGCGGGGATGTCGATTTCCGGCCGGAAGAGTTTCTCGAATTTCTGTAAGCGTAGAGTTGATCATGATCCTTGAAACTAGTCAAACCTCTTCAAACGTTCCCTCCGTCACCACCCAGATCCAGATGGCGTAGGCGGGGATGCAGACCATCGACGACAAAGATAGGAACCAGCCGAAGACGTGTCCCCAGAAGGGGTATTCGTACTTGTACGCCTTGATCGTCAACGGCTTGTAGGTGGCGAGACCGAAGATCATCACGCCCTGAAAATTATATTAATTTATGGAACCTGAGCTTGAGAAGATGATCTTCTAGAAGACGTTAGGCAATACCTACCAGGCACACAGACGGTGTCAGGAAGCACCAGCACAACTTCCACCACCCCGACGGGTAGTAGCCGATCATCGACCGCATATGCTCGTACCATCGATTGATGCCTAGATACCTTAGCTTGAACTGGTCGAACTTGACCCACCGACACTCCATGAAATTGCCACCACCTCGAAGAACAGGAGCCACAGTAGCGCCCAACCGGAAGCGGCGTAAAAGTCGAAGAGTTGGAAGACGTAGAAGCCGCCCTAAACGCTACTTGCTGCACCCGCGTGAAGCCTTGACCAACCTGCGTGACCGTACTCAGCCCAAAGATGTAGGATATGAAGCAGATGACGGCGACGAATATCTCACGACCCCATCTTCGCCCATGGACTAGCACCGGGAACTCGTCGATGAGGGCGGTGAAGAAGCCCTCCATGGTGCAGAACTGGAAGGAGTTATGTTTTGCTTCTCGCTCTCTCTCTCCCTCTCTCTCTAACTCACTCTATCTCTCTAACCCTACCTGAGAATCAATCCCCAGGAATATCACCATCGAGAAGAACATGATCGACCAGAACTGCGTGTAGGGAAGTTGCAGGATACCAGAAGGATAGGCCAGGAAAAGTAGCCCGGGCCCGGATTCGGCAACCTGTGAAGCTTAACGTTACACTAGCCGCCTATAAATCCACCTCAGCAACGGTCTTCTCCATCTTGGTCGCCATGAATCCGATAAAGGAGAAGATGACGAACCCGGCGAAGACGGACGTGCCCGAGTTGACGAAACAGACGGTGAGGGCTTGCCTGAGAAAGAGGAGCTTTTGAAACCAAGCACAAAACTTACTTGTACACATTGTTGTGGAACTTGTTGTAGCTGCCGAGCGCTACCAGTGCTCCGAGGCCAAGACCGTAGGAGAAGAACACCTGAAAATTAAACTTGGGCTTGGAATCGGTAACACCAGGCAGCCTTGACCCCATATCTCGGCTTCCTAGGCGACTACAGAGTTTTAAAGTATATAAGAATGTTCGTCTGAGTCTGGCGAGTATTTTGGTATACTTCACACGTCGGTAGCATGGTTATGAACCGAGATACAGCCGACCCGGCCGGGGGGATCTGGTGTTTTGCATAAACGACCATAAGTCGCATGTAATATTGCTGTGTGTTGTTCTACCATACCTGAGTCACGGCATCGATCCACACCTTCGACTCGAGGAGACGCGAGAAGTCGGGTTTCAGGTAAAACTCGAGCCCGAGGGAGGCTCCTTCTAGCGTCAGCCCACGCACGAGCAGACAGAAGAGCATGATGTAGGGGAAAGAGGCGGTCACGTAGACTACCTAAAAACAGAGAGCCTTAGCTCGAGGTATATTGAGTACCTTTCCGGTCCACTTGACCCCCTTCCAGATGCAGAGGTAGCAGAGGACCCAGGCGATGCCGAGGTACAGCGCCAGGTCCCAGCGCAAGGAGCCTGGGTTCTCGAAGCTCGAATCGGACGTCATGCCCAGGACTCGGTAGCTGAAAGGGTATATGGTAGTACAAAATACTTAAAAAAATAATTAAAGCTTTAGTCGCGAAAACCTACTCCCAGAACTCTTTGACGGGTGAAACTGCAGCCATATCCTTCTCGGTACATACTCGGTAGTTTGCCATAGCCCCGGTGAACTCTGCTTTCGTGTATTCCTTGATGTGCTCCATCGATAGGGACTGGAAATAAGTCCTTAGACGATAGTAAGCTTTTAGGCAGCCTCAGCGTGATAACGGTAGAGTCATAACGTCGTCGTCACTACAACAACTACCACATTACCACTACAGGGTGTCCCAATAAAGAACCCCCCTAACTCGAGGCCGAAGTACCGGACCGGAACGATGGTTCCACCATTAGAAAGCCCTTGAAACGGTGAGTTTGTTGCCACCTTCAAGACCATGTTTTTATCTAAACGCGCCATTTTACCACGAATTTAGGAACATTGAGTAACGGCATTTGCATCTAAATAAGCGCTACTTCCGGTCATTTTGTTTGTAGAAATTAAGGCAAAAGAGCGGGAATGCAGCTCCGAAAAATCTCAAAATTCCTAAAAATGGCTTGTAAAATTTGGAAGGCTAGACGTGTAAAATATACATGGGTCGACGCTTGCATGCGCCGCATAAGCGTGGCCGGCCACGCTCTTCCGGGAGCGTGGAGAGCCACGCTGGCGCGCGTGTCTCTTAATAAACCACGCCGAAATGAGCGTGGCCCGCCACGCTCCGGAAACGCTTATGCAAAGTTTCTAAAAATGCAAAATCAAAGTTTTCCAAGGGACATGAAAGCAAAAATCGATCCGTTTTCGAGAATTTAACTAAAAAGAAGTTGAATCACGATGTATCTTGTTTATCTATCAAAATTTAAAGATGACCCTGATAGTTATGTATCGGCATTTCATTTTTGCAAATCGAAATCATAAATATATGTCCTTTAAATTTTCGATTTGCATCTGGAGTTAAATCGCGCGCGTGAAAAAGGACGCATAAAGCGCCGCATGAGCGTGGTCCTCCACGCTCCGGAAGAGCGTGGCCAGCCACGCTTATGCGGCGCATGCAAGCGTCGACCCATGTATAGTGTAAAGGCTAGGTTTGAAGATTGTTGCAAACTTGCTGTTTTACGGGCTTTCGAATGGTGTAACCATCGTCCCGATCCGATACTTCTGCGTCAAGTTAGAGGGGGGTGTTTTTATTGGGGGTTTTTTTACACCGAATATCTGCTCCGACGCCTAATGCGATCGATACGATGCATGCTAGTATTACTACTAGCTACTACTACTGTCGTTACTCCCTATTATGATGCTTACCTTGACATTAAAATAGTTAGCGATCGTCCGATTGCTGACACACGGCATCTTCACGTGCGGGAAGCAGTTCTCGGTGTTCCATCTACAAATGCGCTGCGTTGGTCTGTTTTGCCTTTAACACTCACTCATTATCACAATTCCTCCACGGCACATTGTCGTCCAACCGCAGGCTGTGCACCAAGTAGCACAGCGCCCACGCCAACACCACGATGTAGTAGATGTTCAGCCAGAAGGCCATCACCACGGCTGCGTAGCCGACGCCTAAAACGGAGAAGGTGCCGCCTAATTTCATCACTACATCTGCAATCGATACAACTTGTATACCTTTGAAAATTGGGCAAATCTTGAACATGCCCAACCCGCCGACGGACAACAGCTGGCCCCACGACGTCTCGAGGATGAATAGAGGCATGCCGCAGGTGACAATGGAGATGATGAACGGGATGAGGAAGGCGCCTGAAAATGGCGAGCTACTTTTTATTTAACGAAGGATTTTGCGTTTTCTCTTATTTTTTTTGGCTTCGTATAGTTTTTTTACGGTTTATGTACTACATTTTCTACTTTATTAGAATATACCTATCAAAATCTCGAAAATCAGAATCTCGAATTTTCAGAATCCCGAATTTTCAGAAACTCGAATTTTCAAAATCTCGAATTTTCATAATCTAGAATTTTTAGAATCTCAAAATATGCCTGGGCTGGATTCAGGATTCAGCTGGATATTCGAGATCCTAATTTTTGAGATTTTGACAGATTCCCTGTTTTTTATTTATTCGGACACCCGGTGGTCCATTTTAGTTTTTCATTTTATTCATTTTTCCTTTTTATTCGTCTTCTACACCCGCAGCCTCGTTTCACGTCAACGTCGCCTCCCATTCTCTTGGTCATCCATTTTCGCAGTTTATGCTCAAGCAAGGGATGGGCTTAGTGCCCACCCGGCTCGGGGCTTAGACAACGCGCCCCACTGGGCCCTTCGGCGGCTCCGTCAAGCCATCCTCCAAACATCGTCGCCATTAGGGCTTCAGGCGAACACGGCGAGGTCAAAAGCTTATAGAAATTAAGCGCAAGGTCAGCTACATCAAAAAGAGCCGATTCTCCCCACGACAACTAGGGTTTCTGTTTTATTTTGGCCGACTTTATCACGTAATCAATTTCATTTTCATTCCTAAGGTAATTAAACAGTCTCTACTCATTTTCCTCCCCAACCCCTTCGCTGGCCATCAGCTGACGAGCCAGCGGTCGGCGGGAATAGCCGGTGACGCCAAAAACAATGACCCCGGTCGTAAAACGATACCCCCAACGACATACGGCCGGTCCGTCGAAAACCGCCGCTTTCAGCTGGACGGACAAAAAATTCACCGCACAAAAAACCGGGCGGCCTTCAAGTAAGTGAGCACTTTTTTGACATGGCTTGTCAAAATTCGGCACAAAAAGGCCGGCTAACATTTCGGGGGTATCATTTTCGAAGGGTAAAGAGTGGAAACGTAGATAGGGTTTTTGACCTACAGGAATGTGGATTTAAGGTACGATATGACGTTTAAACCTTTTTGTCAAAATGAAGGAACCGTGGATTCACCATTTGTATCTACCATCACGCATTAATGGTACGTCGTAAAATGGATTCCCTGTCACGATTTCGAAAATCACCATTTCGAAAATCACCATTTCGAAAAGACACCATTTCGAAAAGACACCATTTCGAAAATCACCATTTCGAAAAGTCACGATTTCGAAAAACACCATTTCGAAAAACACCATTTCGAAAAAATCCCCAGTTCGAAAAGACCCGGTCTTCAAACAGGCATAAAAATGCAGTGTCGAAAAACCACGGTTTTTCTCGGATATGACTAGTGATGTAATAGAAATTGTTTTAGTGGTGTCTATGATGAAATTAATCATATCTCCAGTGGAAAAATAGACCCCCGAACCTCAAACCAGCCAACGAAAATCATTTTTTCTGCGACTGGGAAATGGGATATTGCTAAATCCTGTGTTTCCCAAATGGTTATTTTCGAAATGGTGATTTTCGAAATGGTGATTTTCGAAATGGTGACTTTTCGAAATGGTGATTTTCGAAATGGTGTCTTTTCGAAATGGTGTCTTTTCGAAATGGTGATTTTCGAAATGGTGATTTTCGAAATGGTGATTTTTCGAAATGGTGATTTTCGAAATGGTGATTTTCGAAATCGTGACCGCCAACCCGTAAAATGGTATAATCCGCGCATTACTGGATGTAGATCCCGAGATCAAAATTAGTTGTGCGCGCGCCTTAACGACGTCAATAATCAATACCATGGCGCACTAATGGTAGCCGATTGGAGCATTCGGCATGAAAGGTATACGGTGAGATCCATACGAGACAAATTTGGTTTTCGGAGCATTAATGAAATATAGACGAGGGATGAACCCGGAAGAATCATAGTTACTACTCTCATACTTACCTCCACCATTCTGGTAGCACAAATAGGGGAATCGCCAAACATTTCCAAGCCCGATGGCATATCCAATGCACGACATGATGAAGTCGGCCCACGAGGACCACATCTCTCGTGGGGGCGTCCCCTCGGCCGCCACCATCCTGAAAATGAGACCGACTTTTAGGACTAAGGATTAAGCTAAAAAAGTTAAATTTTCCGGTACCGTTTCTCGGGGTTGAAAAAAACGGAAACAGCTGGTCGTTAAGGGCAGCGCTAGTATCATAAAATTGAGAGTTGAGGTACGAGTATCAACGCGAAACACATGTAACGACGTTCGGCGGAATGTGCTGTTGCCGATTTGCCTTTTTTCATAAAGAGAGCCTTCAGGAGCTTGAGAAAATGCATGATTCTAACCGGTTCCTATTTTTAACCGAATTCAAAATAGAGAAAGCCAGGAACAGGATATTTCTAGGGTTTCGTGACATGAATGCAAGAAAAAGATATCAATGACAGTGCGTTGCTAAAAAAGCAAAATTTAACGCAGGAAATTGTCAGTCGACTAGAAAAATGTTCTAATCAACACAAACCGAAATCTGTAGATTTCGGAGGCGAAAGCCAAAAATATTTTTCGGAGATCCTAAAAATTAATGCCATAAAAATGCCTTATAAATGCCATTGATATGGCGCCTAACCTAAACTAAAAATTTGGAGTTTTCACTTATTTGAATGCTTTTGCCGCGGGTTTTTTTGTCTGACCAGGGATATGATAGGGAAAAAATTTGTCTTTACGGAAATTACGCGTTTAAAATATTTTTAAAGGGAAAAATGCAACCAAAAAGCACCAACTGCGACAAGCGCCCAATTTCAGTGCAAGATTTTCGAGGCCAAAAGCGGGCCAGCCAGCAGCACCTTACATGGGCTGGGCCCTCTAAACAAAAGACCCCCAGCCAGGGGCCCATCCTTAAATGTGGCCACCATGCTGTCGGGGGCCATAAGGGGGCCCTTAGATGGGATTTGATGAGTCGCGGCGGGAGGGCAAGGGCCAGGGTGATAATCGGGCCCACCCCGCCGCCCGACCCCCTTCAAATCCACCGCCCGGTTGAGGGGAAAAGCGGGAAAGATGGGGGTGTAAAATTATGGGCGACCACCCCGGGGATGGGAGGTGAAGCTCGTGCTCAGGTGAGGGAGTATGGGGGGAGACCCCTGGATGAAACAGCTGCGAAGGTGGTGGTGCTGGTGGTGGGCCACAAAGAAAGGCGGGAGGGGTGGGAGCATGAGGTGGAGAAAGAGCCAAAACCCCGGTGGCAAATTGGCAGCTGATCGGGATTAATGAGGGCGAGTAGCCGGGGGGTGGTTCTCTACGAGCATTTTGGGGTTGTATGATGGTATAATTTTAGTCGGCTTGTTCATAATTCGAAATGCTGACCATGACGGTATACTCTTCGGAGCTGATCTGTTAGCGGGGGGGAGGGGGAGAATGGGGCCATTTTATCAAAGCTAAATAATTTTAATAGCGTTTTACGCTCTTCCCAGATATAAAAAAGTTTCTAAAAAATTAGTACGATCTTCGGAAATTTTGAATTTTCGGGTAAGCAGTTTATGAAAAATTTCCAAAGATTTTGCAATTTTTAATTTTTAATTTTTAAATAGTTTTATAATTTTTTTGGGAATCGGAGTTTTAGAATTTTAGTTTAGAGGCTAATTTTATTTTATCACGCCCATATAAAATTACTAGCTTTAAACGCCGGATTTTTGGATATCACGAATTGAACAATCACTTGGCTAAAAATCATGAATAAATAGTGTTTATAACGAGAAAATTGCCATAGATTTTTACTTGTAATATCCTTTTATACCCCTTAATTAGTCAAAAATCCTACCTGTATTCACCCATCGTCGCCTGAAAACGTCAGAATTCAGGCTCCAGCACCGGCAGAAGCTTCTCGATGACCACCAGATCCACCTACTAAAATGCACTAGAGTACCCGAGTTCAAAGGTGAGTGTGGCCACTAGCCGAAATCACCAATTGGTCAGTAGACCGGAAAACAGGGGGATGGGGGCGGCATGTCAGCGGACTGTCCCGGAATCGCACTGGCATATAGCGAAGGGGCGAAAGGAGGGGGATTCCCCGAGGACCAAAAAAAATTGCTGACCTTCCCATGAAGTTCAAATCGAGGCGGAAATGAATGTGGTTATTTAAGTGGATTCGAGGACTGATTTTCACAACTTTTAGGATATGAGAAAACTTGGATCTAAACTTGGAGGTCAACGTGCGCTGCGACAGTAAAATTTGGCGATCAGGATCAGATCAGTTAAGTAATTACTATAATGCCAACGCTAAAAATGCCACAAGTCAGAATGTCGACACGAAAGAGGCGGCGAGAGACACGCCGAAAAATCTGGGTTTAAATGCTACCAAATTCGACGTGAATTCGAAGCGCTGTGCGTCAGTTGTCGACATTTTTGTTGTAGGCATTTTGGCTTCGTCCGCGTAATGGGAAATTTTCGGTTACAGGGGGTCGTTTTAGGTATTCTTGGATTTTTGCGGTGTGAGATAACTCGTTTCATAGGGCTCAAAACTCTTTAAAAAACCGTCTTTCAAAAACTGAGCTCTATCGGTCTAGTCTTGTTATGCCGCCAAAAGCGGGTACTTTCAAAATATCGAAAATCAGAATGTCGAAATTTCATAATGCCAAAATTTACATAATCGAAGTTCCCGGCAAACTCCCAAATCCTATGCAAAAAAGTCGAGATTCTGAATGTCGACATTATGAAATTTCGACGTTATGAGCTTCCACATTTTGATTTTCGGCATTATGAATCTCGATATTTCGAAGGTAAGCCGCTTTTGGCGACGTAACAAGACCAGACCGATGGAGCTCAGTTTTTGAAAGATCGTGCTTTTGAGAATTTTTAGCTCCACATAACGAGCTATCTCACACCGCAAAACTGCTAAAAACTGCTGAAAACGACGCCATGTATCCGGAAAGTCCGAAAATCAGCAAAACGCAAAAGTAGAATAAAAAAGGCTTACCGTAGCGTTTACGGAATAAAAAACCTGAAAAAACGTAAAACCAGAACCCTTAGGACATGTTTACCCTGCTGCCAATGTGCGTGTGGCTATTGATGGCCCTCAGGCCCCAGGGAAAAATGAGTGATAACTGGAGGAACCCGAGGGCCAACCTGCCGCCCTGAACCGGATGGGGTAGATGGATGAATTGGGGGCCCCGATCAGTCGGGGGGAGATGGATTTGTGGGTATTTTTGGGGACCCCGGCAAAAACCCAGCACAAGAACTCGACTGTTTGGACACATCAGGGCGAGGGCTGAGAGATAGATGGACGGGTCGGAGGTATCGAAAATCGGGGAGTTCGATTTAAAGGGATTGGCAAGGCATGCTTACAGTAACCAATGAGACATTGCGTCGACATAACTCTCTCACCCTCCTGCTCTCTGTCGCTCTCTGTCGCTCACTCTCTCTCTTCTCCCTTGCCCTCTCGCTCTCTCTCTCTCTCTCTCTCTCTCTCTCTCTCTCTGGCCGTTTTAACTCCTTCTCGATTCTCGCCGGCTACAATAGCTTCTACCAGTTCCGCGACTCGAGTGTGTTTTCGCCCCTTTTCAGGAGGTGGAGAGGGGGCGATCGTCCGCCCGGAGCCGCGCGGAATATTCAATGGGGCGAGGCGTACGATTCGCTTGATTTCTCTAGCTCTCTCTCTCTCTCTCTCTCTCTCTCTCTCTCTCCCTCTGTCATGTCTTGCTTTCCCCCAGCTTCCCTCTCACGACTCCCCCAGGCGAGTACAGTCCTCATGCTCTGTCTCTATCTCTACTTCCTCTCCGCCTCCCCACTATCTCTTCTAAATCTCTCCACCTACAGTCCTCATGCTCCTCTCCGATCCTGTAGTACTCTGTGCCCTCCCGCTCCTCCCACTCTCTCATCCCATCCCCGCAGGCGATCCAGTCCCCCTCACTCTCATCCTCGCGCACCCTTCCCCCCGCTTGCACGCATCCTTTTCGAACTTTTTTTGCTGGTGTGTATGCGGTTCGCAGTGTCCCGAATTCCCGGCTGGGGGTTGTGGTGCTTGTCGTCGGCTCATAAGCAAAACGACATAACCTGTTCGATCGTCGATCGGCGGGTGTTGAGCTGGCAATCGAACACTAGCATTAGTACTAGTAGCCTCGAGATCAAACTGGATTCCGCTTTTACTTTTGATGGATGTTTGCTGAATGTTCCGCTTTGCTACAAATTCCATAAAAAAAACTGGTGACAACCTGAGATCCTAGTAGCGTCTTGCGGTACTTTTTTGGGGGTTCGCGCTCGTCAGTTTGAGCCGTTTTTGTAATACATGCACTAGATTATTAATGAATCGTTAGATTTATTTTGTGTGCTGCTATCATCTATTAAACTCTTCCTCTTTTCCATCTTTTCTCTTTTTTTCTAAAACTCCCTCTCTCTCTCTCTCTCTCTCTCTCTCTCTGTTCAAGTCCTTCTCTTACATGTCTCTAGACCATCAGCGTTTATGCATCTAGCTTTCCCATCGGCAACGGTCCCTAATTTTACGCTTTTTCTCGCTCTCGATCTCTGACTCTCTCTCCGTCTTTCTCTCTTTCTCTCTCTCTCTCTCTCTCTCTCTCTATCTGTCTCGCGCTGTCTCTATCTCCTTCTCTTTTTTCGACGAATTGTTCCGGAATTTCACTCCGAAATCGCACCAAAAATTTTTGGCCAGTTTTTCCGATACGTCATTTTCCGTTTCGATCCGTTTTCCAAGCTTGTCGCTATGATTCATCGATCCCCATCCTTTCCAGGACAGCTGAAGCTTTCGAGGCCGAGCAAGTTCTGGCAGAAGTGCGGGGCTGAGGTGGCAGATAACTATTCCCTCAAGCTTTTCTCTAAACTTACAGGAATCCAGAGACAGAATTCTGCTATATTCTCAACCCTCGAACTTTTATTTTCGTCTCTACACTACAATAATCCACCGAAGCTCGAACTTACCTCGAAGATTGCGCATTTGAATGGGCATCAGGCGATGGCATCTGGGGCGGGCCTGGTCCCAGATACTGTACGACTACCCGGTGCCGATATTCATCCTGTCGATAGTGTTGACTGGAGTGCTGCCCCTGATCAGCCTCTACTTCAACAGGGTCATTCTGTCGGAGAATGCGGAAGTGGTGAGTGGATTTATTTATCTCTCTCTCTCTCTCTCTCTCTCTCTCTCTCTCTCTCTTTCTCTCTATCTCTCTCGCGCCCATATTCTAACCCTAAACTTTCCCCTAATCCCAAAAACCTCTTTGACCTTGATTGACACCCATGGATTTTTCTGCGGTGCGTCAGTTGGTGTTGGTGGTGTCATCGGTCTGGGATGCGTGGATCCACAGCCGGGATTACGCGGAAATGGCCGATGGCCAAAGTGGGTCAACACAAGAACTGATCCCCCCACCAACCCCCGAAATACCGACCCTCAAAACATACTCGGTTAATCGGAACGGGACCTTGCAAAGGGCCCAGAAGGCACCGTCGTAGATCATGGCAAAACACAAAATCGTCCGCATTTTTTGACTGAGTCGAGACGCACTTTTGAAAAGTTCTTGTTCATTCCCAGGCCGTTGCTCGCAAAATAAAACCCTTCCAGGCCCCTTTAAACCCTTTCGCAGCCAGTTTTTGCCGAGAAATGCAAATTCCCGGGGTGGTTTCGGGGTGTGGCGGCGGGGTGAGCCTGATAAACCGGCTGTCCCCTCCGGCGGTTTCCAATCTTTTTCGGGGAGCCGAAAATGGCATCAGGATGAATGGGATCTTGCGCGCTAGACCGGGGTCTGCGGATGGAAATGGACTTTTGGGGGATATGGGGCTGTAGACGCCATCGAGGCGATGTGAGGGAAAAGGCGAAAGAGCGAGAGATATAGAGGGAGAGAGAGGGCGAGAACCAGAGAGAGAGAGAGGGAGAGAGAGAGAGGGTGATGACAAACAATGCAGAATGATTGAAATTTTGAATATGGATTATGTTCCACGAGTATAAGCGCAAGATAGGTTTTTGTCTCCCGGTACGGTGAGATATTTCTCGCTGCTCTCTCTCTCTCTCTCTCTCTCTCTCTCTCTCTCTCTCTCTCTTTCTTTCTCTCTCTTGCTCCCTCCCTGTCTCTCTCTCTCTACGTCTCTTGTTCTTCTTCCATTATTTATTTATTATTTCTATATTAAATTTGGGTGTTTGGTGTATTACATGATGCCACATGGCCGAAGCCTCAGGGGCAGAGATCCGGTTCCGCAGATTATACAACACGGTGAACAGTGAACAACAGGGTTGGGGGGTGAGGGGGAGGATGACCCCCAGGCAGGGAGGGGATGAAGCCATTCAAGCGATTCGCCCTCGGGGCTCCGGGCCAGCACCCATAAAAGGGTCGCGGAACCGAGTCCATGACCCCTCGATTCGACTGATCTCGGGGTGAATCGAAAATATGGGGATTCAGGGCAAAATTTAAAGGAACTGGGAAGGTAGATATTATCTTGAAATTGGGTATTGCGCTTAAATTAAACTTACAGAGTTTAAAAGTAGAAGAATTTCGTAAGCTGACCACAAAAAGCTTTCAAACGTTTTTTAAGAATATAAAAAACGTATCGCATATTTGCCCAACTCTTTAATACGCTAATCAATTTCGAAAAATTCAAAAACCGGCTAAATCACCATAATAACAAAAACAATTACATTTAGACAGCTTAAAATAAACAAAATTTGTTGAAAATGGCGAGAAAAAATTTTTAAAAGTTTAGAAAAATATATCAAACGAAATAAGCTCTATCATAGTTTTTTTTTTGGAAAAATTGTATTTTACAAAACCAAATAAGGTCTATTAAGGCACGTAAATTTACCGATAACCATACTTTTCAGGGCTTCGACACCTCAAACACGGAATATTCCGGACAACGCCAAGCCTGGAAAAAGCTCTCCTTCGTCCTCCAAACGACGAATAGGGTTACGGTAGGCTTTTTCTTATATAAAATCTGACCAAATTAAATCTATGATTTCCTTACTTTTCTAGCTGGGCTCAAATACAACATCTGTACAAAAAAGGGAGACATTTAACGCCAAGGGTGAGCCGCTGATAATGGCGAGCCATGCGGTAGGGTACGGTATTTTGAAAAATTATGTATTTTTGTAGGGGCAAAATCGAAAGAGGCGAGGCTGGACGGATAATTTGATGTCGGCTTTTACAAATATTCCCTGCTACGAGGCGCCGCTGCCGTTGAGTGGGTTTCAGAAAAATCCATGAACGCAAAATCCAACCACAAAAAGCCAGGGATGCTAGCGGAGATTCCTTCGGAAATTGGCATTCAGTTTACTGCACTAATAGAAATGCCAAAGAGCAGAAGGCCTCGCAGAGGTTCTTTAGGAAACTGGGTTTTCGAACAACGCACTAATAGCAGACATGGCAAAACGGCCGCCGCGGCCGGCCGGAAGCCGCATGCAATTTTTTTTTCACGGCCGCGGCCGGCCGCAAGCCGCCAAAAATTACCCACGGCCGCAGCCGGGCCGGGCCGTAAAAACGACCCAGCCGGCCGCGGCTGGCCGCGGCCGTTGCAATAGACTAGGCGTTTCCTTTTTCCTTATGAGAAATCATGCAAATTAGTAAAATGCATCTCGAGATCCTAAAAATAGGTCATTATTTTGGGCAAGGTAACGGCCGCGGCCGGCCGCGGCCGGCCAGTCTATCCTTGGAGACGGCCGCGGTGGCCGGGATTTATGCTAATTTCATATGCGGCCGGCCGCGGCCGGCCGGAGGAAGCTACGGCCGGGCCGGCCGGGCCGGGCCGCGGCCACTTGCCATGTCTGACTAATAGAGCAAGCAGAGGCGGTGAGGCGTGAACAAGCTAGCAAATTTACCTGATGACGCGTTAATAGATCGACAAATAACGGCAGGAAACTAGCAGAGATTCTTGGGGAATATGTCACTCAGGGTGCCGCACTAATGGCAAGACCGAGAAAACACACGCAGAGCAATCCAGTCTAGACCGCATCGCACACAGACGGACGTCTCTCGGAAGCTTCGATTTTTGAAGACACATTAATAGACAAGCAAGCCGGATAAAGTTGCATGAATGGCCAAACCGAGACCAGGACGGCAGACTAGCAAAGAACTTTTGGGGAAATCGTGCTCTAAAAAGACGCACTGATAGACAAAATACGTTTGATAACGCCGCACTAATGGCTAAACAGAGACAAAAAGGCAGGCCAGCAGAAAATCTTCGAGATCTAGAGGGAGAAGAGAGTATCGTGAGAGAGAGAGCTTGGGAGAGAGAGAGATCTTGAAAGATTTTTAGCTCAAATTTCATAGAATTCCAGTAAAAAACGTTTACGTCTCGTTTAGTGAACCACCTCACCCAACTGGTCGTCGAGGTGCCGAGCTACGGCTCCATCTGGGACATGGGGTTCTTGAAGCGGCTCTGCGGCCTCCAGGCCGGGATCTCGCACGCCGTGCGTCCATTTGAGAGCTATACGCCGTACAGGTATGCAATTTTTGCTTGGGATACCTTACGAAATATCGTACCCACTCCTAAAATCTTCACTGTTTTCTGATTGTAGAAACGTCTACAGTCTGGCCAACTTTTTCGCCTGTATCTCGCCGAATTTTCTGGTGAACTGCACCGAGTTGACGACGGCCGATGTTGATGTGGTGGGTGGTTAAAATACAAGTTTCCCGGGATTCCATTTAGTTAGTTGTGAAAGGAAGAATTGGAATAAGAAGTCAATGTGCCTTTCAGGTCCGTAAACTCGTGGAAAGTTGCGTGCCGTACCGGCAGCGTATTATCGATTGTCGGCTGGCGTGTGCGGAGAATTGCAATGGTACGTTACGCTGAAGTACTTACACAACTGCAAAATACCGCCAGCCAAAAGCTGCTGGACGAAAATGCCGACAATCCATTCATTCATCCGACTCATTATGGGCGTAAAATTAGCTTTGCAGTGTCGGGGTTTTGTCATTTCGGGATTCTGGTTGTCGGTATTTTGTCCCTTCGGGTATGGTCTGGTCGGCATTCTGGTTGTAGGTATTTTTCGAGATTTTGACTTTGCATGTTGTCTGTCGGTATTTTTCGTGTCGAGATTTGTCTTGTCGTGATTCTGGCTGCGGGATTCAAGCTCTTCGGGTTTCGTCCTGCCGGGTTTTTTGCATGTTGGGTTTTGACCCGATCTGCTCGCTGTCGGGATTTTGACTTGTTGGCATTTCTTATTATGTCCGATGGCACTAGTTCGGGTTTTCCACCGAGGATTCCAGATACTTCCTGCCCCGGGATCCCGAGGAACTGCTCGACGGCGATGATGGCCGACCTCTTCTACCGGATTCTGCCCCGAAACTTGCGAGCCCAGCCCTTTCACGTCAACGCGTTCCTGCCGGTTTTCACGCGGATGGGTATGGATTTTCGGAATTTGAGGGTAGCGTTAGTTTAGGCTATGCGACGCAAAACATCTGGTTGCCGCTGTCCGATTACGATCACCTGGAGGTTGCTATAAAGAATTATACCGAAGCGGTTGGGCTGGAGATGAAGGGTGGGTTAGAGAGCGAGAGAGAGAGAGAGAGAGAGAGAGAGAGAGAGAGGCGGAAAGCAGGCTGTTTTTTAGACGTGGTCGCTACTGTAATTTTTAGGCCTTTTAATGGAACTTAAACGGGATCGGCTACTCTCCGCAGCGATCACCGATTCGTTCTATTCCCTTATCGCTGCCTTCCTGGTGACCGGCTGTGTCGCTATCCATTCCAGGAGCATCCTCTATGCGTTCGCTGTCCAAATTCAGGTTGGTGGCATCCGATTATTCGATTTGGGATTGAGCGAGAGACTATCCAGTTACGTCATGTTTTTAAGCTATGTAATTAACCAGTTACTTCATGATTTCCAGCTCCTCCTCTCCGTCCTATGCGCGCTGGCGATATACGCATGCTTCACGTCGGATTTTCCGCTGTTGAACTTGGTGATCTTCGTCCTCCTTATTGCCGTCGGGTCTGACGATGCCTTTTTGTTGCACTCCCATTTCCCCGACGAGCTCAACGAGGAGTCATTTTACGAAGTAAGCAATTGGTTTTACCTTAAAGCAGTCTAGCATAGATCCTTCAGGAACCCGTAAATGAGCTTTTAAATTTAGGCACTGGCTCACACGGCGTCAACAATGTTTTTGACCTCGTTCTCCACGGCGGTCCCGTTTTTCGTCAATATCCTCTCAAACGTCATCGTTTTTCGGTATCTCGATCTTTTACAGAATTAATCTAAAAAACACAGCTGCTTCGGCCTCTTCGCCGGGCTGACGATGTGCGTCAACTTCGTGCTGGTCATCTCCTTCCTACCCACTTTCCTGATAATCCAGAAAAAGTATAAAGGCTTTAGACTACGGATTTATGAGTTTTAGATACTTTTCCTGTCTGCCAAAGCTGCCCGACATGTCCAAGTATTTTTCGACGTCGATCAAGGTCGTGTTCCCGCAAGTGTTGATTCAGGTGGGGATTGAGCAGATCGAAACCTAAATGTGCGCCTAAGCCGAAGCCTAAGCCTAATTCTAAGCCTAAGCCGTAGTCTAAGCCGAGCTTAAGCCTTAGCCCAAGCCGAACCTAAGCTAAAGCCAATGCATATGCGTAAGCCTATGCCTATACATAAGCCTAAAAGCCCAAGCCTAAGCATAAGCCGAACCTAAGCCCTTCTCGACTTACCGAAACTTCAGGGCCGTTTCGTCTGGTTGGCCTCCCTGTCCTTGGTGGTCGTCTCTTGCTTCTACATATCCCTCGAGAACCTCTCACTGCCGAAATACAACCCGCTGCAGCTGTTCCGTTCCGATAATCCGCATGAGTGGTTTGTAGCTCATAGTTCTGTAGGTTCAGAGCCCTTTAGGTACGACAACCACGCGCAACCGATTTTCGAGTTTGTCGAGGCGAAAATCGCGATTCCACTGCATGCCCGGCTCGTTTGGGGTATCAAGCCGGTCAAGCAGCCGGATATGTGGGTTTTTCAAAGCAAAATTCATAAAAAACGATCTTACAAAATTAGGGTTTTGAGAAAAGTAAATTAAGGAAATTCAAACTATTAGGTTGGACCATAAGTTCGTACAATCGAACTTCGGAAATTTCTTTCTAAAATTTTGGTGGGCCGATATCGCTGTTTCCTTTCGCCCGTACTCGCGGAGTTTAATAGTATGTGGGATCAAATTTACAAGATTTTAGACGCAGTAGTTTTTATTATTCTTGCGTTTCTCTAGGAGGCGTCTCAAATTTTTGACCCGGACATCTTTCAGGATCACCATAACTTTACCATAGCAATGAATTGCCAGCATGATAATACTTTTTAACTATTATTTGGATGCTGAAATATGCAAAAAGATAAATCGGAACTGTTTTGGAAACAGCAGTCCGCAGCCTTTTTCGATTTTCTAGTAAATTAAACTGAAAAAATTCTAAGGGAAATGGATTGTGATTCCGTCCCATGGGTCGAATAGAGCATTTGATTGTGCATACGTCTATCACTAACACATTTTGTTTCTGTGCCGTTTTCCGGAACAAAAATATAAAATACTGAAAAATCTTGCACGAACTTTCGGTCCAACCTAATATATATTCAGGTTCCGCGATTTGACCGATCCACCGTTAGAAGACGATCCGACATTCACCCTCGCTACAGTCCCGGATGTGAAGCAGTTGGCGAGGACGCTAAAAAGGTATTTCAAGCGAGAGAGAGAGAGAGAGAGAGAAGGAGAGAGAGAGAGAGAGGGAAAAAAGAGAGGGAAAGAGAGAGAGAGAGAGAGAGAGAGAGAGAGAGAGAGCGAAAGAGGGAGATAAAGATCCCAGGATTCGCGAAGGCGGCAAAATACCGACAGCTAGAAAATGACAGCCGGACCCCCAGAGGCAAAATTTCGGATGTGAAAAAATATCGACAACTCTCAAGCTTTCTGTTGTCGGGATTTTCACTCTCGGGATTTTTGACGTCGGTATTCCGGTCGCTATACAATTCAATTCCGTTACGAAATTTCCAGAATCCGCGCCCTCCCCTTCGTCGAGCACCCATCCCCGTATTGGCCAGAACAATTTCTGACTTGGAGCAGCAAGTAAGAAACTTTTTTATGCTGCAACCCAGCCTAGATACGCATGTCAACCAGCCCTGGTCTGCTGCAACATCACATCCCCTCTATTCCGGGGCACCTACCTCGACTATTGCCTCCGGAACTCGACCTCCTACATTTTCACCCAGTACAACGACACCCCAATCTTTGATGCGCACGATTTTCGGTTGATCGGGTACACAGCATTGCTACCGACAAAGCTACGGTGAGCAACAAAAAACAGATTTTTACAATCTTGAGTGATTCAGCTACGCGCACGTCTACCGAAACCTCTCGGTGTCGTTCAGCCAGCTGGACAAGAACTTGCAGCTCGACCACGGCGGGTGGTACACGACGGAATGGTGCGTTTTGAGTGACTGACAACTTAGGACATACCTTGCGATTTTAGGTATCTAATGTCCACCTGGTTCGACTTGCAGCGATCAATCGTATCCGATTGCCAGAGCAGCGCCCTGATCTCGCTGGCCGTTGTGGCGCTATTCGCCCCGATAGCGATGCGATGGCAGGCAATTGCCTGTCTCCTCTCCATCTGCTCGATCATCATCGTGTCGGTGGGGATTGTGGTGATGCTCGGGTGGACGATCGGGGTGTTGGAGGCGGTCATTCTCGTGCTGGTGAGTGAAGAGATTCTAGGCTTTCTCGCGGTAGATGAACAGGCTTCTTTTCTTTTTCCAACGAATCGGTTATATGTCTGATCGGACATGGTTGAACGTCTTCAGGTCGTCGGCCTCTCGTTCGACTTCACCCTCCACTTCGGTGCCTCTCTACCCTCCGATGGGTGCCCGATGCACCGGGTCGAACGGACAGCCGAGCTGGCGATGGGCCCAGTCTTCCTCGCCGCCATCTCGTCGATCATCGCCGGGCTGCCGATGCTGCTCTGCAAGACGCACGCCTTTTTCCAGGTTGGTAGGGATTATCACAACGCCTAATGTGTATCGACCAAGATTTCGAAATCGTAAAATTCATTTAAAAATTAAAGCAGTGTTCTATCGACTTTTCCAGGTCGGCGTCTTCCTCGTCGTGTCGATGTCGGTCTCCTGGGTGTTTGCCAACTTTTTCTTCGTCCCCCTGCTCACGCTGACGCTGTCGCGACGGCAGCCCTGCCAACAGTGCCACGACAAGGATTTCCAGATGGTCCCGCGGTATTAAGGGAAATCCGTTTAATCCATTTTACGCCTATATATCTGCTTTTTTAAGTTTTTTTTTCAGTCTCACTATCATGTCCTCATATCCATTTTCTTTCGACTTTCGACAGGCCGGTGTTCTCAGCTAACGGGTAAAAACAAATTGATATAAATTGTCGCTAAAATTTAGTCTGTGGTTTGCAAAAATCTTTAAAGTAATGAATTAATACAATTATTAAGTTGTTATGATAGTCAACAGGTGAGGTTTGGCAGTAATAAGTTATTAATACACAGGCTACAGGCTACAGGCTACAAACTATAAACTACACAAACGAAAAAGTGCATAAAAGAAGATAAAAGTTAAAGGCTCTAACATCGATAGATTACAAGCTACATTAGCTGACTACAAACTACTAAGAAACGCCGAGGTATATGGCTATAAATAGTGGGGTAAAGCTAAGCGAAAATCGACCCGGATCGAAGCGGAAGTTGAACCTGATATGGCACAAAGGAAAATATATAGGGCTTAAATTCATATAAAATGTAGAAGAATTAAATTAAGGCTGGAAAATGAGACACGTCACATCGCCGGTCGTCATTTGGCAGTAGTGGGTGGCGACGAGGCGGAAGCTAAAAATATTTTGCGCGGTTTTCAAGCTTCTAACTATCGGTCTCTCTCCTCTCTCTCTTCCGCTCTCTCGACTGTCTCTCTCTCGCTGTCTCTCTCTGTCCCTTTCTCTCTTTCGCTGTCTCTGTCTCTCGTTGTCTCTCTCTCTGTCTCTCTCTCGCTCACTCACTCCCTATTTTCTCTCGCTCACTCTCTCTCTCTCTCCCTTTCTTTCTCCCTCACCTGATCGTTGTCTTCGAGCACAACACACTGACGAGCTCCATCGCCGCGTCACCCAACTCCCTCGAGATGCTGAGTTTCGAAGCCGTCGCATCGTTCTCCTTCATTTCCTGAAAATCAGACGAGTAGATGTTCAACCCCAGAACCCACAGCCTCAAGCAATCGCATCCACGCCTCGTTGTTGCACTTGGTCGGGTCGAAGGTGTGCGTTTGGTCCCCAAAGAGACTACTAGACGCGTAGCCGGATGGTGAGACTAAACAAATCCCATTTTTGGCGAGCTATAAGACTTACTCCTCTCAATCTGGGGCAACGTGGGTGCTTCGCTGGAGATGATCAACCGGGACGAGGCGGTGGTGGTCGTGACAAAGACAGTGGTGGATTCTGGGGCAATCGTGGAGACATCATCGACGGGGACGAACATCTTCTCAAATTCCTCAGGTTGTTGGAGGGAGCGCTTGACGTCGTTGGAGTTGTCGAACTCCTCGATTTCGATGGGTTCGGTGGTGGTGGTAGTTGTTGTAGTTGTAGTCGTCGTAGTAGTCGCTGGTGTCGTTGTTGGTGTCGTCGTCGTGGTAGTGGTAGCCGTTGTCGTAGTAGTAGTCGCGGTAGTAGTAGTCGTCGAGGTTGTCGTGGTAGTTGTGGTAGTAGTCGTCGTTGTTGTAGTCGTTGTCGTGGTGGTTGTAGTGGTGGTAGTACTAGTCGTCGTACTCGTCGTGGTCGTCGTCGGGGTGGTGGTCTGGAATTCAGATAGAGTCTGGGATAGCCGTTACGATACAGGAGGCGCGGGCCAGGACGTGTTTTTAGATGATGATTTTTTCCATTGCATTGCCATAACTAATTCAAAACCCCCGAAAATTTTAGCCACGTTACAATGCTCAAAAACTTCCTGACGATACGAACTTCGCGAAAAACTGGATGCGCAAGGGGTGATTTTGTTTATTTATGGCGCTTGCTTGACAACCGTCAACTTTGAGGAGCTTTTTCTAAAAAGACCACCATCGCTCTTCAATTGCTAAGTAGTGCAACCTTGTACAAAATTTAAAACTTTAGTTAGCAACTCATCTATTTCGCATCGTAAAACCGCAATATCAGCTCAAAACGACCAGATTCTTCTCCTAACCTACCGTCGTCTGCCTAGCTTGCTCCTCGGCCAACCGCTTCGCCAGGAACACCTCCTCCTCGTTGAGATCGTAATCGTCTTTTCTGAAAGTTTACACTTTTTGAAGTACTAGTGAAGGTTAGTCATTTTATGGAGCTTGAGAAAACCAGCTTACTGCAGTGATAGCGCCACTCCGCTCGGCATCATTGTGGTCGTTTTCGGGACGATGGTGCGTAGGCGGGCTTCTGAAAGTAATATCTTGGTAGGGTTTCCGAAGAAGTGACGGATTCCCCGTAATTTGTACCCACCCGTAGCCGGCCAGGTGAACGTATGATCCCATGTTGAGGACGCTCTTCGGACCGAGATTGTGGCGGGACGGGCTGAAAATGGTAAGTTATTATTGGAGGCCAAAGCGCCGATAGATACTGCTGCAAAATGTTCATCACCAACCTGACGCCACGGCTCGCTTGGTGACATTCGCCGGGGCTAGCGTGACTGACCGGAGAATCGTCTTCGGCGGCAAGCTTGGGCGTACCTGCTCGGCTCGTGGGAGTGGATCGGCGGCTTTTTGTGAGATTGGTGTGGCCTAAAAACAAGATCAACTCGGTTCCGCCTAGCTTCTCTAAGAAACTCTGCTAGCAGGGGTCAAAACCAACCCACCTTAGCCGAATTTTCGACGATTGGCCATTTGCTCGGGAGGGTGGCCCTAGGAATTTTCAGGTAAGATCAAGATTCTTTTAGATGTACCTCGGCGCCAGGCTGCTCTTCGGCGACCCGAGAATCCGGACAAATCGTTGATTCGAGCAGTCTGAACGTGATTATGGCAACTATTTGAATATGACAAAATTGCTTGCCTGGACAAACGGGGCATTTCACTTCCGGACACACGCATATCGGCAAATTTGTCGTGCTGATGGTGGAGACGGGCAAAAATTGGCTGACTGCCAGGAATATAAATATTATCATCCTGAAATTGGGGAACTCGGTTAGGTTTTAGTAAAACGGTTTTTAGGATGAGGAAAATTTGGAACAAGCGGCGGTTAGACAAAGAAAGCGAAGACGGAAGCCTCAGCAATTCGAAAATCGGTTGGGCCTAGAAAATGATTGATTTGATGGCACCCAAGAAGTTCTGCATTATCTGTTGTAACCTGTAATTTGCATGTTGGGATGATTCATGAATGTGATTATGCAGCCCTGAAGGAGCATGAATTTTACAGCAAGTCGTCGAAGCTCAGTGTACGTAGAAGCGGGGGTCGAGCGAGGGCTCCGAAGCATTTTTTTGCGAAGCTAACAGAGTTTAAGCAAAAAAAAACCCCCAATGATCTGCATGTAACTGTTTCAATAAAACATAGAGAACACGCGTATGTAGAGGTTTGGAAAACACGTGAGAAGTAGATGATGATCAACCAGAATTCGGACGCATGAAGTCCCAAACAATTATGAAACGGCTGAAGCTCGAAAGTTGGTGATTCGGACTGTGGTAGCGTATCAGGACCCTAAGGTTAACATAGGCTAAATCGAACATGACCAAACGATTGAAAAAAAAGTGAAAAGCTGATTCCAGTTCAACCCTGGAAATCCCAGCATCCAAAACACAAGCGCCATCCAAATGACATCCCCCCAGAAAAGGTAAAGGTCAGCAGCGCCCGGTGGGCTGGATCGAAAAAATGCCGTCGGGGGCAAGCGAATGGCCGATGAAAGTGAGCCAGCCGATGCTGCTTGAGGAGGTGTTCTTCATGCTGGGGGCATTGTCACCATCTCGACCCCGACAACCCGTCCCTCCCATTTGAAGCTTTTGTTTACAGGGGGGTGACCCGTTTCGCTGTCCGCAGCGGGGTGTGGGGGTTCGCGCGGCAGCAACTATTTATGACCGGTCGGTTTGGGAATCGGTTAAAAATAAATGAGATGGACACATTACTGCACAATCTGGAAAAACCATTTCGAAAAACCAAAATCGAATGTGACGGCTATGGTCAGCAGTAATGCTCGAGACGCGCAAACCAACTCTACTCGGCAGCCATCAAATGGCTTTTGCGCTATTTCTGAAAATTTTGCGATCACGAAATAACTAAGACTGTAACATTTAATTACGATTATACAACGATAAATCGGCCGCAGTCCTTTGTTTTTGTCTTTTATTAGACGTGAAAATGCGCTAGTTTTAAAATCCTGACGCCATTTATGGAACCCTCCGGCGATTTTAATGCTTTTATTTTTTTCAATTTCCAGAACCTGGGAATCACTAAAACAAGTCGAAAAGCCGATTTCTCCCAGAATATTTAGTTTTCTCAAAAATTAGGTCTATTTTGCAAAAATACCAATTTGTCGACGGTTAGGCAGTGTACCTTCCGATGTTCCACAAATAGGTTCGATTTCCGAATACTCAAATTTTGAATTTTTAGCCTCTAAAAGAAGCGTTGAAAGCACTGTTTTTATACACGCAAAGCTACTGCATCGGCGTGGCTATCAGTTACCAGTATTTTTATTTAGTGCCCGACATACCGTGCCATCCAGTTTTCGGGCCGACTGGAGCCGAAATTTTTAGGCGGGGTCGTAGTGGTTTTAGGAAAAGTTATAACCCCGTAAGCAGCGTTGAATCTTCAGGTTAATTTTCTATGTTATGTCTTGTCTTACCTTATTTAGGTTTTTATATATGATGGCAGCGAAATCTAGTTTCAAATGTCACCGTCTTATTGAGAAACCGCGCGCCTTCCCGCCAGCCGGCCTTCTCGAATCGCCGGCTTTTGCACTTTCCCGATGTGTGTACACGAGCTTGTTGTGCCATCGATGGAATTGAAGTATGGAAATACGGTCCATCACCACTCTCGACTTCGCCCTCTCGATCCGGCTTATCCCAGCCAGCGATCTCTGAAGACGCGGCGGCGGGCCGTACTGCTGCCGCGTGCGCGCACGCACTTGGTGCATCACCTTGATCTCCTCCGGCATGTTTGAGCACGGCATGAAAAAAATCGGAAAAACCGGGCTGGTTTGAGCGAGGGAGTTTTTAGTCCAGGGGCAAGCTCCAAACTTTCGGGGTTTTTTAGAGATTTTTAGAGATTTTTCAGGATCGACTAG